AAACAACCTTGGACATAATTCTTGTTAAGAGGAGGATATAGAAAACTCAAATTTAAAATGAAGTCTGTACAATACTAGGGAGTATAAAGTCATCAATGTGGGTTTTTCTCCAAAGAAGTAAGCCAAGATGAAAAGTATAAAGCATTATCTTGGCTAAAAACAATTGAACAAGAATGAAAATGGTGTTGATATGTATGAGTCCATATATATATATATATATATATATATATATGTACATACTTACATGTGTATATATATATATATATATATATATATATATATATATGTTGCAGTAAATAAATGTAGTAAGAGGGATTAGGTTGATTAAGCTTAAAAAATGAGGTGGTCCAAATAAATGCTGCAACAATGAATGAAGTTTGAAAGCATTGTACTAAGAGAAATGATCTAGTCATACACATACATACATACATGCACACACACACACACACACACACACACACACAGAGAGAGAGAGAGAGAGAGAGAGAGAGAGAGAGAGAGGGCCTCACTTACACAAAGTACTTGATGTGGCAAATTCATAGAAACTAAAATGGGTATTACTGGAAACTGGGAAAATGAGTAATGAGGCATTACTGTTCAATGGACAAAGACACTGAGAAGATAGATAAGCAATATGAATTGATAGGCATCATGGTTACATGGCATTGTGAATGTAAGGTCACTGAATCATATATTTTATAGAATTAAAAGTAGTACGAAATTAACTTAGGTAGCTGACGCAAGAGTGCAGAGAAGGAGACTTGGTGGCTATGCAATCAAAATTTCCAGCTCACCTCATATAGAGTGTTCAAAACAGTAGCCATCTCATCTCTGCCTCTGGCATGATGATACTGTTTGCACTAAACCAAACTTGAGCTAGCCTACTCCCAGGGCTTCCTGAAGCCCCACTGCCAGGGCACTCAAACTCAACATTCTTCTCTCCACCACCACACACTCTGCTGCTTTATCTCTAGAAGGGTGCATCTGGAGAGCAGATCCTCTGGCCTATTAATCAATACAATGAGGCTGAGAATGAACATATGGAACATATTTTAAGTGTTGAAATTGCAGAGATTCCCCATCTCAACCAAGACTCTCTATGTGGGTCTCCTCCAATTATAGAAGGGTACAAGAGATGAGTATTAAGAATGGAAATAGTCATTGCTGTGATTTTTTTCTTTTGCAGTGTTATGACTCTTGTGAAACTTGGCAATTATGATGAACTCAGTTTAGCAGTGCTTTTGGGGTGTAATCTCTGAGCAAACCAAGTGGCCAACTGGCAGTCATCCCTGGTTACTTGCCTGACAGGTAGCCACATTGAAAAGCAAATCAGAAACCATGAAGTCCCTTTAGAGGCTGGGCATTTGACACTAACTTCCCTGTGCCCCTGCTCTTTGCTAATCCTCAATTTGAAAGCTATCAACTCTCAGGTGCCCTGTTAAAAGTGAACACTCCTCCAACTTACTGCTAGCACCTTGGTGGCATTTTGGATCCAAGTGAGATCCAAAGCCATTTGGATAATTTACCTTACAGGTGCAGTGGTTCATCTGTCACTAGCATTTTGTCATCAACCAATTTTCACTGACTAGATTCTTCATCTATTTCTTTATGCTGCTTTTACATTTTCTCCTTTTGTGTGAATTGTGATAAATTGAGCAACTGGGGCACCATCTTTGTTTTACTTGTCATTTTGTTAGCTTCTAAGTGAGTCAGATCTTTGGATGTAAACTTCTATATTAACTCATCTTCTAGGTCTTACCTTTCTCTCAACTAAAACTCTAGAGACAGCTGAGTATCCAGATATATTCCTGTCTGTCATCTTTATGATATTAGTTGAGCATGCTTAGACCAATTTTTGTACACCATCCTTATGAGTTGAACCAAGTATGTTCAAGGAAGTAAGCAGAAATAATAGAGTTGGCTAGAGTGTCTACAAAGATACCCACCCAGCATCAAAAATTTCCCCCATGATTACCAGTGTTGCCTGCAAAATGCCTTCAGCCTTTGTTGGAAAATACTCCCACTCACAAAAGTCATTTTGCCCAAGGCCTCCCTCATCTGTTCTGGGGCAACTTGTATTTGTGGTTGATTGACATTAAAGAATAAAGGCTTTTTCTTTTGTCTCTGACCATGTTCTCTTCTATGAATGACTCTATGGTCAGAACTGGAGTGTGACCAGTTAAAGCCTTTACTGAGGCATATTAAGACCCCTTCCTCATGCTGTCCCATCTTTCTTCCTCACATCAACAGCAGCACAAACACACTTTATAATAGATTTTCTAGTATTCCTTCTCAGACAGTGTCTGCTCCTCCTGTAACCCTAACATCAACACAAGGAACCTTTGGAAGATGGTGTTTGTATGATTGTCCATTACATGAAGTTTGCCCTTAAGGGCTGACAGGAGATAGTGCATTATTTTTAGCACTAAATATTTTTGAAAAGGATTATCTCTGATGAATAAGCAAATATGATGAAGAATGACAAAACCAATTGAAACTGAGGAAGAAGATTGACAATATAAAATCGGTAATTGTAAAAAAAAAAATCTGAAGTTTTCTAAACCTGACAGGGAGTCAGACAAATAGTGAGAGGGAAAGTCTGTGAGTTAAATTAAGGGCCAGGCTGTTGGCAATCTCAAACAGATTGGCTGTACCACTAAATTTTCAAGAAGAGAAATAAAGAACAGAGAAAGAAAAAGTAAAAGAGGTCCCATGTGATTACAGCCTTTCAGATGTATTAGGAAATGTTGACCTATTTGGTTGATCAAAGAGAAAAGTAACATCATTTACAAACCCATACCATGTTCAAACACTACCCTTTGTGAGTATATGACTTATTTATAGCTCTAGGCATGACAAATAGTTACTTAAGAGTTCTAGGTTCAAGATTTTTTAATTAATCAACATTATAAAAGATAAAGCAAGGGCTGGTGAGATAGCTCAGAAGTTAAGGCAATTGCAGAGCATGCCTGGTGACCTGAGTTTAATCCCTGAAACCAGCATAAAGATGGGTGGAAAGACCCAACTTTACTAAATTGTCCTCTGAGTTCCACATGCATGCATGCATGCATGGGTGTGTGAACACACACACAAACACGCACACATCACATCGTTTACATAATGTGGGGACCAGCAAGGTGACTCAGTGGGTAAATGTAGATGGAGACAATTAACGCCTGCAAGTTGTCCTCTGACTGACACACACATGCATAGCAAAAAATGTAGTTGTTAAAAAGGATAAAGTAAATCTGTGGCTGGGAAGAGTTATTAATGCAAGGAAACAAGCAAACAAACAAAAACAATGGGTGGGAGGAGGGTTCATAAAGGTTACCCACAAACAGATTAAGACTTCATAGGCAATAGAAATGTATTTCCAGGTCAGAATAAGGTGTTCTAAGTTTAAAGTCTTAGCCCTAAAACTCAACTATACTTAAGTATATCCATACTTAAGAAACTCCCCCATGGAAAGAAGGGATCCAACAATAAGGGTTGTTTGATAGGTGGACTCTAGATGTTTAACTGTGCTCTTGAGACATAGAGTGAAAAGACTGTCAGGGACAAGTAATGTTGGCAATGAATGTAACAGTACAAATATAATAAAAGGAAATGCAACCATGATTATAGGAGAGCATTTGTCTTGGTAATGGCAAAGCTACTTCACTCATTAGAGTGTATGCAACTTAACATGAGAGAAAACTCAACTCAACATTGTTTGGACAACAAGGAAAATTTATTGATTGTACAAAAAGTCCCAGCAAAAGTGGGACCCAGCTCAACAATTGTTAATCTGCTAGTTCAATAACATCTTGGGAAGTTCGGTTGAATTCTGTTTATCTTTCTGCTCTATCTTGTCCACACCATCCTTGTCTTCAGATCACAGCACAGCTGAGAGATACCAGATGTCAACAACCAGAAGAAAGGATGAATGGGGAAACATTCCTTAGAATTTCCCAATAACCCTCCTCCCTCATCTCACAGGAACAAAACAGGGAGTTACCTATTCACCTACAAATCACTGGCAAGGAAATTTTGATTATTATGAGTGGGTTAGCATAACATGTATGGAGTTACATCCATTGATCTAAAAATGAACAGCTAGATAAAATCAAGGTTCTTAAAGCAAGGCAGGGGAGTGTTTGATACACAGCCAAACATATTTGTTATACCATCTGTCAGTGAAGCTGAAGATGTTATGGATAGTGTGATTCTGTTGTTGACAGACCATCTGATTATTTTTTACAATCCAGGAATCTAGATGTTTATGCAAGACCTCACAATTTAAAAATTATTTCTTATAAACACAAAACAGTTTTTTTTTTTAAAGTACTGTGTGGTCAGCATTTTTTATTAAGACCAAATAAAACACATCTGCAATCCAAACCCTGGCAGTAAGTCACCAGTTTGTAACTTCCGGTTTATGTTTATTTCCTTAACTGAAACATTCTTCATTTAAAAGGGGAAGCCTCACTTTAACCACACCAGTAGTTAGCATACAAATAATCTGTGACTAAATTTTTTAATAAAAACATTTGACTGTGTTGTAGGAAACTCTCCCAAAATAGCAAGGTTAATAAAAAGCTTCAGAAGAAAGGATATCAAAGATATAGTCAAGAGGAGGTGCTTGCATAATTCTTTTTCTTAACTTGATGTTCGATTTGACAAATTAAAATAATCAAGACATTGCTACTTATTTAATAATGAATGCAATAACTTCCCAGTTTCTTATTATTTTCTTTTGTCATGTTATGTTATGTTTGCATTACAGGGTGCATCAACCCCTTCCAAATGAGGAAATTAAGGCCATCAAAAATGTATCATAGTGAAACAAAGGAGTGAGGGATCAACAAATTCGAGTTTTATAGTTTATATAATTCTTTAGCCATCTTTCTGTGAGTATGGAAAGAAGATTATTTAAAGTAGAACAAAGATTCTCAAAAGTGTATCTTTCTTGAAAACTTTAATCTTTTCAAAATATAGCACAAACTAGGCAATGCTAATTTCTCTGATTTTCAAGAGCAATAAAAATAAGGAATGAGCATATCTTTTTTCTTTCCATCGAAAACATCCAGGCTTCCAATCTGATCATGTGATCATCAACCCTGGTTTAGCTGTTGCTTCAGACTTTTGCATTTGAGTCCCTTAAAGAAAGAAAAACTTCTCAGATGATCAAAGCATCTTAAAAATTTAGCAAAGTTGATAGATATAAGGTGAAGCTAATAAGAAAATTAAGAGAATTCCCTGAAGCTCAACTCTCTAGTTTATAAAGTATTTAATACATCAGCAATGAAGAATTAGGCATAACAGAAGGTCAGGATGGAAGCTGAGATAGCTCTCATTCTGGGATTCAAATGACCCTGTAGGCAATTAGCAGGAGGCAGAGGCAGGAGAAATTACAAGCATAGGGAAGAAGACTATGGCCAGTAGCCTACTAAGAACACAAGATGCAGAGGAAGTTATGGATGTAGGCAAGCTTTCTGTAGAATGTTGCATCCAATCACCCAGTCCTGCACTAGTATGAGAAAAAGAGCAACTGAGGTCACCACAGTTGTAGCTGTGATTGTTCAGTCTCTGTTTTCTTGGTTACAGAAAACACTCAAGATCAATATATTTATATCAGTCCTTGCCCCAGAATAAACACCTTAGAAGTAATGGTAGGGGCTTTTCTCCTTGGCACTAGAAATGATCATAGATCTCTTAAGTGGGTGAAGAAGTGGGCTTCTTTTGAAAAATGGGAAAAGGAAGAGATTCTGTGTCACTAGGATGAAACAGAAAAGTAAGTCAGCCAGTATAGATGGCATGTTTTCCCCATCTTAACCATGCTTATTTCCTTCATGAAATTACTGCCTACCTCCTCACTACTCCATTAAAAGTGCTCCCCAATTTTCTGGGGCCAGTTCATACTCCAAATACAAGGTCAATGTCTTCTGCTTCACCAACTCCATTTGCATTGATACCACAATGATTTCTCATTAACATCACACACTTCGATACAAGTAATATTTGAGGAGCTAGGTACACCAGGTATGTATGACTTGTTTGCCCACTAAAACTGTGAAACATTGTGACAAAAGGAGTTTTGGCTCTTTCTCCTTTACATACAACAGAGGGCTAGGCATGAGGAACTAGCTGTTCATGAGTGGATGGATTCTGCCTTTTGCTTAAAACATTTGATTTTTATTCCACCTTACCATCTTGTGTCTACTTTTCATCCTCTATCTTTTACAAAATAATAACAATCATTTCATAAATGTCTAATTTTAAAACCCTAAGAATGAGAATCCAGAAACAGTTCCTTGGAAGACAGTTGCCTTATACAATAGCTATGTCAATGACTTCTGATCAGTTATAAAAGAACTATTTTATCATAATAAAGATTCAGTAGCTAAGTGAGATCACTATAGAAGGGGGGCTTGCCTTTCCAGGACCTCTGAAAAAATGTGCTATGATGAGGTAGGTTAGCCTCAGGATTGCTGACAAAGACTCTGTGGATTAGAGCCAGTTGACAGAAAATCCAGCAGTGACCATTTCATACTTACAAGGAAACAGGAATTGGTGGTGGTGGGAAATTTGGCTTTGTGGTTAGCTAGTAAGAAGATAAAAAGGGACAATCAGCTTGGAGTAAGATCTTAAAACGTGTCTGCATATTGAATATGTTTAACTCATTTTCAGGAGCCTTGGAAACTTAACCATTTGAATAATTCTAAACCCACGAGTTTGACACTTTCATTTACTTACCTGCTTATAACCCAGACATAAGCACAATGTCAACAGCTGTGTGATGAGAACGGCTACTGTGGGCTTAATTTGTGCATCCACACAAATCATATGTTAATGCCCTAATCCCCAGTGTGATAGTTAAGACTAGGGGTATTCAGAATTGAATCAATGAAGATACAAAGAGATGATTTTTACCTCTTCTTTCCCTATTCTTACTCCTCCCCTTTCTATCCATTTTCCCAAATGATAGACCAGAAGGGAATCCTCACCAGACTCCAGGAGCTTCCAGATCCCCAATCTTAGAATTCCCAGTCTCAAGAATGGGCAGAAATAAATGTTGTTTGATCTATATGGCCTATGCTACCTTTTTCTACATTAACCTGAACTAAAAATAGATTCTATGGAGCATATTAATTGTATGAATGGATTTTGCCGACATAATGCAAACCTATATGTATCTGGAAGGCAAAAATCTCTCTTAAGAATGTACCTTTTTCTGATTGGCCTGTAGGCAGATCTGTGGACTTCCATCTAGATTAATAATTGATGGGTGAGGGCCAACCCATTGTGGGTGGTGCCACACTTGGATAGGTAGTCTTGGGTTGTATAAGACAGTAGGCTGAACAAGCCAGGGAAAGCAATACAGATAATAGCACTCCCCCATGGCTTCTGCTCCAGTTCCTGCCCTGGTTCTCCTCAGTGATGAATTTAGAAGATATAAGCTGAAGTAAATCACTTTCTCTAAGTTCTTCTTGGTCATGATTTTTTTAACTCAGCAATAAAAACCCCAGCTAAGACATGAGTATTCTACATAATCAACTTCTACCTGTAGGTTCTTAGTTTAAAGGATAAACTCAGAAGTAAAAATGTTGAGACATATATTCCCACATTTTGCATTGAAACAATTTGCAGAAGAATTTATATTTTATATTAATATGCACACAAATCTCAATATTCTTCTGAAACAACAGTTGAGTACTGTGATTTATATCTTTTGGGAGCATTTCCTTGGGGCTGGACTCGATGAGAGAGAAGTTGCTAACTCACGACATTAGGTAGAGGGTCATTCTCTTCAGTGGGCAGATCAGACATATGGAGCTTCTTCATCTGACTCATCTAAAATGAAGAAGTTAAATTTTGCAATGAAACCACCAGGTGCCAAAGTACATCCAGCAGCTAAGTTACCCTCCCCAGGCTGTATGCTAAGGATGAAGCTGACACTGGGAGATAAGACAGCAATGGTCCCAGCTACAGTAGCTCAGTTGTAACATTTATAGGAGCATTTCCCCAGGGCTTCCCAGGAAATCTGTCACAACTGTCACCACTGATGCTGTGCTGTCTACTTCAGCTCAAAGCCCTAAACACATAAGACATGTGCTGTGCATGTTACATGCTACATAGTTGACCATACATATATACACATCACATTTTTTATAGAGTAACGGTTAACTTAGAGTCAGGATGGACAGAGTGAGAGTGAGTTGGAGGGGTGGGCAGAGAAGAGGGACAGGGAGGGACAAAGGGAGGGGGGAAAGAAACTGTTAACATTTCTTCCTTTTACTCTCTGTGTGTTTCAGGAGCTCTTTCTGCAAGGGATTTTATAAGATTCTTTTTTGTGTATTAACAAAACACTAGGGGAAGTGAACTTTGCATGTGGGCACAGATCTCACAGTCCTTGCTATCTGCTAATGTGGGGTAGATTTCTAAGCACTGCTGTGCACAAATGACAGATATGTGGTCAGAATAATATAAGAATGGGGTAAATTATAAACTTGAGCATCATAAAATAACAGTCCAAACTAGAATTCACCTCCTGGGGTTGAACCGCCTTCACCTTTGGGGATTTACACTTCTGCTTGTGTAGCATGGCATCCGTGGCAGACAATGGCCTGTAAGTAAAAACATGTCCTGTGAACTGAATAGCACCTCCAGCATGCCAGGAAGATTCAACAGAGGATGGACAACTTCCTTTGCCCACTGTGCCATGCTCTGCTACCAGAGTTCAGTGTGTTCTCAGAATACTCCTCAGCTTTTAGTTGTAAGTTATCCATTTTTATCCTGTGGTTAATAAGTACAACAAGACATTTTCTTTTTGTTTCTTGGCACAACCCTGATCCATAATGATAATGATGTTAAGCCAAGTTTTTGTCTAAATCATGACATTTAAATTATTTTTAATTCATTAATTATTTTCCTTAGACTCATTTTATGTGAAATAAGTTCCACCAAAATAGTTCAGTCTTGGAAAGTAGTAGAAAATAATCTTGTTGTGTTAAGGGGGTTAATAAGACAAAGGATTTTCTTGCCAATAAAACCTCAACTTCTTACTTTGGAAGAATGCAAAGGCCTTTGTTAAGCTTTCTGTCTTCTCTACACTCTTTAAGAGTGAATTCCATAACCTTTAAAGACTTGAAGGTCACATTTCATCCAGAAAGTGTGAATACTCCAGCTGCTTCATGAGGTTCTCTCCAAGATTCAATGACATGATAGGAAAGCTTCAGCACAATGTCTGCTAGACAGCTGTCAATCAGTGAATGCACTCTTCTATTCTTATAATAAATGTGAAACTATTTAATAATGAGGTCCAATGTCACTGTTGTCATTAATTACAAAAAAAAAATAGCTACTTAGAGGAGAAAAAGATTTCCATCTTGTTGTGAAAGTTCGTTCAGTCAAAGGGATATCTAGTCTCTGATCTGTGAAAAAACATACCTGTGTGGTTTTCTCCATATTTGAAGTAAAATAAAGTTAAACCTGAAGGATTAAGTCATAGATCCCAATCTCAAAAGAAATAGAGGTTAAAGGGTTCCCCAAAGCACATGAAAGCTTACCTCTGAACTCTCTTCTGCTTCTTCCTGGCACTTTGGTGCCGGATCACTATAGCAATCACCACAAATATGACAGCCAGGGGGAATAACACACCAACCACAATGGAGAAATCTACAACAAAGAGCACAGGGACACTACTGAGCACCGAGGAGCTTGTCTCACTCTAGTCTGTCTTCTCTCTCCCTTTCTTTTTTCCTTCTCCCCTTCTATCCCTTCACTTTTTCCTCCCTCTTTTCTTCCTTACCTCCCTTCTTTCCTCTTTATTTCACTCCCTCCCTGTCTTTCTTCCTTTCCATTTGATTAAGGATCTAGCCCAGGCTGGCCTTATACTTACCGTGTAGCCCAGGATGGTTTCAAACTTTGCCTGGAACTCCCATGTAACAGAATTACAATGGAATGTCATTGTATCTGGCCTGACTATTTTGTTTGTGACAAAAAAGAAATTAACAAATGAACTGGTCTTCCTAGAAAGTTGTATATGATGGTTAACCTTTACTATCACCTTGTCTGTGGAAGGAGACATGGGCCAGGATCCCAGGCTGAATTGAAGAGGGTAACAAGCCAGAAAACCTGCATTCATCTCCCTCTGTTTTCTGACTGCAGGTACAATATGACCTGTCACCTCTCTGTTCTCCCATTACTATGTATTCCCCACCATAATGGACTGTGATCTCAAAGCTGTAAGCCAAAGCAAGCCCTTTCTTCCTTAAGACACTTTTTATCAAGTATTTCATCAGAAAAAAAAAAAGAAAACTAACAGAGTTGGTAAAATGTAAACCATGTTGATCATGATTGGGGTGCTAATGTTTATAAATAACAAGTAAAAAATCCATAGGAGACCTTCCATAGGAGGAGGGTAAATATCTTCTTACTGAAAATTCTTTGAATGGAATAAGAGTGGCTGCAGTGATAAGAGAGTGAAGGCTGGGAGGCTACAGGGGGATATGGAACAAGGAGGATTGCAGATCAGGAAAACTCCAGCCTTGGAATGAAAGGAGAAAGAGATGGTGTTGGCCCCATTGTCAAATAAAGAGCAGAGGCATGAGTAAAAAAATATGGGACATAATTCATGCTTTGTCTTTGTTCTTTACCCCCTAGTCTAAGTAATACATTCAGCCTGGATCCTTTGCAATCTTGTGTTCATTTCACTTATAACCAACAGAAACCATGAAGCACACATATCTGAAGAGCAGAGCAGCCACTGCTCTTAGTATATAGTCCAGTAGTAAGACTGACAATTCCAAAAACACAAGAAAAGCTTACAAGTGTGAAGACAAAACATGTAGCCAAAGGTAGACACCTCAGAAAGCAGAATTCAAGATAAGAAAACAGGGTCTAATTCTCTTTACCTTCCATAAAATTATTGTTCAAGGAAATCAAAGAAAACCAGAGGCTTTGGCATTTCTGCTAGACACAGCTTATCTTCAAAATAAGGATTGCATTGGAATTAATGTCAGAGTAATAAGCATTTTAAGAACACCCTATCAGAGTATTTGGAATACTGTCAGTGCTTACAAACACTCCAGATCTAAGAATACAACAATTGTGGCTTTGGGTAAAAAAAATATATATATTACTAACAGACAGTAAATGTGTACTTCAAGAGAGAAAAAACTGAACAGCAAATCTAGCCTCTTCCATTACTAACAATGATGGTATTGTACAACATATAGCATGAAGCATTTTTATAAAAGAACTCCCTCAATCCACGGAAGTACTAAAAAATAAAAGATTTTCTCTGTACACATTGATGAGGTATTAAGAATGTAGGAAATATAAAGGAAGGAGAGTCAGTTTATTTAATGGCACTACCCCCAGAATATTCCAGAGTAGGCTCTACCTACACTCCCAAGAAAGAACTAGAAGAAGTAGAGAAGATCAAGATGATGACAATGACTGGAAGATGGGTGGATAGAGAGGTAAGAGGGTGAATCTGGGAGGAGGGGATAAATACTATCAGGATGCATTGCATAAGATTCTCAGCATATTAATAAAAATACAATTTAAGAAAAGACAGAGAGGGAAATGATACAAGAAAGAAGTTTCAGATATAACTTGTATGCACTTGACTAGTATGCACAAGATCTAGGTGCAATCTCCAGGACTGACAACCAAGAATGATAAGCAGGAGGAAGAGGGAGAAGGGATTGGGGACATGGAAAAGCAGAAAGAGCAAATGAACCAAGAGCAAGCTCTAACAGTAACTAACTGCACCTTCAGTGACAATGGTATCTCAATATGTGTTTATGGACTGTAACTAATGCACCACTCTACAGTGGGGGTGCAGTGCACACTGTGCTCAATGTTGCTATGCATCTACAATTGCATAAAAGTAAAAACTAGTTAATCAAATAACGAGATATGAACAACTTTAGAACAACTAATGAAAGAATGATAAACTGCACACCGCCCAAATTCATAAAAGAAAAAAAAATGGTTAACAAAATGGCCAACTGGTGTATAATACAGTATAATATAGCACAAAGTGAAAAAGAGTAAAAAGAGGAAAACCGGACCTGAGACCACCTTGGGAACCTGTCCAAGTCAGTTCCAGTGAGACTTGCTGAACCTGTGTTCCTGATTCTACAGTCCAAGATTCTACAGTTCAATATTTTCAGAAGGAAAGGAGATTAGAGACTTTCAGTTTGGTTTGAGATTTCCAGTTTCCCAACAAGCTTGCTGCATCGATCAGTTAGCTACACAACATCTTGGGACAATTGAAAGCTATTATAGACATGGTGTGGGGCAAAAGTCCATCTTCAGTATTTAAGCAGACAATGGACAAAAGTCTTGGCAGTTAATACTTAATACTCAAGAACTGTAGTATCTCAAACTTATCTTTGGAAACTATAAGCAGCAGTGCATTGGACTTTAGAGAGGTAAAAAGAAAAGGTTCAGAATTGTGGAGTTATTCATACCTCATTTACCATGAGAAAATTTTATTGTCCTTTGATTGAATTGAAATTATGAGAATTGTAATTTAGTCAATTATGTGTCAATTTTTAATAAGCATACTGGAATCATTAATGTTTACAACCTTTGCTATACTAGATATGTTATGGATGAAAAAGTTACCCCATTCTGTTAAGAATTAGACATGATGCTTATGAATCATTAGATACAATGCAATTGAATAGGCAGATTTAGATTTTGATATAGCAAAAGACACTCAAGACATCACAGACCAATTTTAAAAGGCCATTATATCTTGATTCATCCTCTCCTATTACAGGAGATGCTGTAGCCACAAAAGCATATGCATTATCGAGCTTGCTTGGGAACTCTCGATGAAAAGTTGGCTCAGGTGTGTTGGCATCTAGCTATACACTATCCCCTAATATTCTTTATTACAGAGGCTGGTAGTCAGAGATGGGTAAAGTCTCCTTACTTCCAAGCTACCTAAGACAGGATATGTGCTTTCCATGATGGGTAAGGCTTGAAGGCTGAAGAAGACTACCGAAGACAGAAACAACCATCTGTCCTATAGCAGAAGCACAGGAATTTTTTAAATTATATTAAGAAGGGGAATTTGTGGGTACCCATAAAGATGGATGCACTCCATCTTGGCACAAGGGCAGAGTTCAAAGCTGTCAGCAAGTCACAAGACCTAAAGGTCAAAGGTGTGGCTCCAGTAAGGATGTTTGGCTGCCTTAGTCTAAATAACAACAGATCTGAATCTGAGGTGTGGCTACCCTTGACCTCAAGGGTAGGGAACAAGAAGTTAGAGCTAAGGTGTGGCTACTGAACCCTTAGAATAAGCAAAGAAGAAAAGTCTGTTTGTTCTGTATTCATGATACTATGTTCCCCTTTTTGGTTAAGGCATAAACTCGCTCATTTCAGTATTGACTGATCTGACCTCTTGACCTTTAAAAGAAAAACTATATTGAAAAAGTGGAGTGGCATTTGTTAAAGAACAGCAGTAGTTTATAGAAGCTTGTTTTCATTCTGAACCTTTATAAATCTACAATATGGTGATGGTCTGGCTACAGGTCAAAACTACACTGCAATAAATTGTACTGAGGTAGCAGCAACTAAAATCATGGACTATGATGCTGGGATCCTGTAATTCTCTCATAGTATTCTGGAAAACCTTCATCCATGTTTTAAAAGGATCTTCTTTCTGGCATGCTGAGTTATAGCTGAACAATTATTTTTCCAAAGGAATAAAGAAAGTGAAGTATTAAAAGAAAAGATATCTACACAGTAACTGTTAGAACCAAGAAAATAAACTGGTAGCTGGGGTTATATATGAACAACAGTACAGACCAACTTGGCACACAGAACACATACAAGCACAGGAGGACACAAGTGCAAAGTTCATGTTACCATATTTTCATACACAGAAAACCTGAACACATGCTTATGTGCTAAGCCATAAAGTAAGCTACAATAAATTTTAACATATGCTCCACATAAAATATTCTCTGATTACCATGTAATTATTCTAAGTATTAACTAAATAATAACTAGGAAAATACCCATTTTCCTGCATGTTAGGATGCAGATGGCAGTAGTGTGGTGGTGGGGAGAACCAGGGGTGGGGAGTCAATGGGATATGTAATAGTCAGCTACAAATGAGCTAGAGTATTACACACCAGGGATAGTATAGATAGAAGCTCACTGTACAGTTGAAAACCCTGGAACAAGGATTTATGAATACCTTTTACCATAAGAAAATTATATCTTTTCTTCAGTGAACTTTATCTGATAATGTATTCATGCAACATGGTTACTGTTTTACACATGCATTATGGCTCTTCTGGTGTATATAAGAAGTTGGTTTTACTCATGATTTTAGAGTCTATGATTAAGTCCCTAGGTAGTGAAGTTGAAACATAACATTCATGTTTACAGAGGGACTAGAGTCTTTCAGAGACAAGCCTGACTCTGACTTCTGCTAAAATGAGAGTCCAATTGAAAATAGTGTCTTGCCATTCATATATATAACTTTTAAGAGTTATATGTCAAGCTGGAAAAATAATTATACATTTATGTCTGTGAACCACACTGTTTCCTACTTGTGGACACAAAATGATTCATTAGAAAAAAATGTTGTGTAGTAAGACTTTTCAAACTTCACTGAGTAAATTTTAATTATTTCAGTAGAAACCAGAAAAATGTAACAGTGGATTGTAAAATAAAATAGAAATTTCCCAGCCAAAATAAATGATAAATATTTGAAGAAGCAGTTGTGTTTAAAGTAACTTCAACATTACATAATATAAGCATGGACCAAAAAATATCATGGTATCTCATAAGCACATACACTTTAATGTTTTACCCTGTCAATTAAGTAAGGATAAAATAAAAAAGTGTCTATCCCAATATAGTTATGAAAGTAGAACTGAATTAAAAACCTAATCTTATTTCTATGGATTCCATGGTAACATTTCTATTTATTTCTATGTAAACAGAAACATTTAATGACCAATAAATACTCTTAAATTCAATTTAGAAAGTTGTGGGAAGAAAAACTTCCTGAAAGATTACTCACAGGTTTAGCAAGTCTTATGGCTTTAATTGTTTATTGGGTATGAATTTTACTACAAACATTACTTAGACTAATGTTGACAGTGGGGCCAGCGAGTGTTGTGTCTTCTCCAAGCTGATAAGAGCCACACACTGAATGGTGGAGCTTTGGGCCCCTTCCCAAGACCAAAGTTCTTGCAGCCTGCAGATGTCAGCCCACCCATCTGTCTGTGCTTATGAACGGGTTGAGTGATCCACTGGGTATTTCTTCTGAACTTTATGGAACAGATCAATGAGGATAATGTCAAATTTGTATGCAGAACCTTCACCAACCCAGTAAGAGTTCAGAACTCTTGCAATGTAATAGGTGAATAAAAATGAAGGTTTCATGAAGAGCCAAGTCATAATTTAATGTTATTTTAGTGAAAACTGGAATCATCAAAGAGCTTTCTAATTAGTTGATTCTGTACTGAATGTACCCCACAACCCCACCCCAAGAATGATAAATTGCAGATAATAATATATTATATAATAATATCTTATATCCTTACAAAGTAATGGAGTTTAGAATCTCCAGGAACATAAGAAGTAAAGGTCTTGGGCAAACAGAAAAAGTAAGCTGAAGCATAAACATTAAAATTAATTGTTATTCTTTTGTTTGAAATGCCAGAAAGTATTTGAGTTTGGGACAAACAGTTCACAAAGGCCCATTCCTAACCATCCCCTCTGTGTACCCAGGAAAATAGTTTCATGAACCCTAAGTCAAAACACCAGGAATTTCTCCCTAGAAACACTGGGGCTTGGTACAGGAATACTCAAAGCTGATTGAATCTGGCTCCAGACACTCACCATGAACCATGCAAAGAAAGGAGTTCAAGGAGTGCACTCAAGAAAATCAGAAGGGAATTCATAAAGAACTTTTTCCCAACTTAAGAGTATGCTTTGTGATGGCAACTAAAAGCAAGCTTCCAATGCTGGTTCATTCCTTCCTTGATGATCTATAGAGTGGCCTGCTTCCTACTCACAGTCTTATCTTCTAGCCAAAGAGGTGTAAGTAGGAGCAACAAACTCTCCAAATGCAAGGAAAACCCATGTGGGCCAGTTTGAGTCAGCTTAATTCCTGGTCTAACAAAGATCACACATGCCAAAGAAAAAGAGTCAAATGAAATGTGAACAACATGTGAGTGAACAAAACAGTCCACTTGCAGCCAGTATATGGGTAAAAGGGACATCCCACCTGTAGGCAGTATATGGGTGACCAGGATATCCCATCTGTAGGCAGTATTTGAACGAATAGGATAGCATGACTCAAAATGATGGAAAATAACTCAGAGAGCAGAACCCAGACCTACTATTATAATCCAAGTCATGTTCTCAGAGAGTCTCATGAGTTAATATTACCTAACATTGTGTCTACTGTGGAAATGGGAGGAAAATATAAAGCAAGTAATAAAATATGATATATTAAAGAATTATTACAAGTGAAAAGTTTGAAGATACCTTTTTGCATGAAGACTGACAATGCAGGAGTGTTGAAAATATGATTTGTTTGTTGCTAAAGAAACTTTACAGATGAATAGTATATGTTCAATAGCTACAGAACAGGAAGTTGATGAGGATAGAAAAAAGACAGTGGACCGTATATACCAGGGTAAAATTCAATACTCTCAACCTGGCAGATGTAAGATTATCTAGAAGACAAATTCTATGAATATCTGTGAGTAAGTTTCTAGATTAAATTAAATGAGGCAGGAAAACCTACTCTAAATGTTGGTGGAACCATTCCTTAGGCCAGAGACAGAGATCAATCCTAAATGGATATCTTTATAAAACCCCCACCTCAAGGTTCAGGATTCTATGCAGAAGAGGAGGCAGAAACACTGTAAGAGTCAGAGGTGGTGGGTGACTCCAAGGAAACAACCATCTAGACACAACAGGACCGATACAAGTGAACTCACAGGGACTGTGACAGCATTCACAAGACCTGCTTAAGTCCAAACCAGACAGACTCCCAACAGGGGGAAGAAGTAGTCACAAAGTCCCAAACCCAACAAAGAAGCTATTTGTAATTGCTATCTGATGGGAAAGGGAAAGTCAATTTTCTCAAATGGAGTCTCACTAGGTGCATCAATCACACTGAAGGACAAGCCCCATGTCCAGGAGCATTTGGCCAACATGAGTTGAACTTTATGACTCCATGTGTTTCTGTGCAATTTTTGTTTGTATTTTTTGTCTTCTTTGTTTTGCTCTATTTTTTTTACTTTAGAAAGAGAGAGAAGGAGAGAGAGAGAGAGAAAGAGAACATGAAGCTGGTGGATTGGGATCTGGATAGATAGAAAGGATCTAGGAGGAGAATATTCAAAATACATTCTATGAAACTAATTTTAATAAAATAATATTTTCATAAAAAGGCAGAGATGAACACCAGCATTCACCTCTCTGTTTCCTGACTGTGGAAGCAATGTAACTAGCTGCCTCATACTTTTCCTACTACCATGACTTCCCCACAAAAACAGATGATGTCATTAAACTGCAATTTCAAGTAAGCCTAACATTCTTGAGTCTTGTTGGGCATTTTTAGCACAGTAGCAGTGAAGTGTCTAATACAAACACAGAGGAAGAGCTTGACAGAAGGAGGCAAGTTCCAAGGCCAGAGATTCAGGGTTACCTACGGAAGACTGTGGCAGAATCCTCACAGTCAGGAGGGGCCCATCCTTCTTTGCACTGACACTGCAGCTCATGGTCACATACCTAGTGGAAGAAGGATGCTGTGTCACCATGAGACTTAGTGCACCATTGAGGACCCATTCTTTCACAACGAAATTGATTTTGACATGAGAGGGAGCCCTGTTCTTCTGGCTTTCATCTGCTCCGGTGAAGTATTGATGACACAAAGATTTCAGTAATGGAGTTTCAGAGGCAGTGGCCCATGCTATATACTCGGGAGAGTCAGATAAGCATAGTAACTGTGATCATTGAGTGCTGAAGGTATTGATTCAGCTTCATCACAACAGCACTGGGAAATTGCATACGGCTTATCAAACTGGGGATATCTGCTTCCCAAACTTACTGCATGCCCCCTGCACTTTGAGGAGCAGTTGGTTGACTTGTATGCCTTCTCCGTGTCCACACACTCTGCATTAATGCACACCTGAAACAACGCGGAAACATGAACTCGATGGAGCATTTTCAACAGTTCCATCTCTGTCAAAGACTACTGGAATTCAATCTTCAATTTTTCACCAATTCTACGTCATCAAACTCACTTTTTAAAAGAACTTTTTATTAGTACCTTGTACCTTGAGAATTTCCTGCAATATGTTCTGATCATATTTACTCCCTCAATCCTTTCCAAGTCCAGCCCCTAACCACTGAGCTTGGTGTCCTTAAAATGAAAAATCAGGAGCAGTTTATGCTGTCAAAATATTCTTGAATGTGTGGATTTCCAACAGAATGTGGTCAGCTTTCCAGGGAATATACTTTCAGGGAAAGTTGACATTCTTTCATTAGCCACCAAATACCAATAATACCTCAACTAAAGGTGAATCTTTGTGCCCACCTTCTCCCTATTTCTTGGAATATTGTCTGGCTTGAGCTTACCCTGATCCTGTTCAAGCTGTCACAACAGTTTTGAGTTCATATGTGCAAATGTCCTGTTGTGTTTAAGATTTCTTCTTATTATTTTTGTCTATGTGTCTGAGAGTGAATGCCATTAAGTATGCCAGGGGCTGGAGAGGCCAGAAAAGAATGTGAGATCCCCTGGAACTGAAGTTATGTGTAGTTGTGAGCTGTATGGGTTTGGGGAACTAATCTTGGGTCCTATGGAATCATCGTGTATGCTGTTAACTACTAAGTCATCTCCCAGCAATCAAACTCAATCTTTTATTAAGAAAGCACTAGCAGGTTTTGAGACAGTCCAAGCTCTATCATTTTTAGTATATAATAAGACACTTAGAAAGCCCTCTTTAAAATGCTTTGCTTCCTTTCTGATAGGTATATCTTTTCATTTAACAGCTCCTCACATTTACAGCTATTCCTGATGACAAAATTAAGCATTACTATAATTAACATCTGGAAGGAAGTGCTGGGATTACATTGCACATAATATGACTACAGTAACTACTGTGAGTGGAAAGTAAATGCCATTTCATTCTTCTGTGTACCATTACCTCCGAGGAGCTGGCATTGACTGAATACCCTCTAGTTTCGAAGCACTGAAATTGACAGTTTGCCTTTATGAGACTAAATTACCTCACTTAATAATTTGTTTTAGTTTTATCCATTTACCTGCAAATTTTGTACTTTCATTTGTCTTTGACATTAATACTACATTTTGTATACATGCTGCATCATTTTTATCTATTCATCTGTTGATGGACATCTGGGTTGATTGCATTTCCTAATTCTTGTGCAGAAAGTAGCAATTGGCATGAGGATGTAAATGTCTCTATAGTAGGATATAAATTCCCTTTGTAACTATGTCCAGGAGTGGTACAGTTGTTTCAGTTTCCTGTACAAGGCCTACATAAGACCAAGCCAATCAACATTTCTGCATAGATGTAGTAGATGAACTCCTGGCCAAACCTTTATTAAGGAGCTATTGACAACTGATAGCTGCTGAAGAAGAGAGAATTATTCTTTTCGGAGTATATGACAACTGGTAAGTTTCATGATCCAGTGTATGGCTCTATGCCCATATGAGCAGTACTAATTAATATTACTTAACGGGTTGTTAAAAGGAGATGGAGGAGGAAAACTACGAGGATGGGGGTAATAATAATGAAGTTATAAGGAGAAATGTTGGAGAGGATACTAGGAGAGTTGGAAGGAGAAATTGGAGTATCTGATCATATCTCATTGTATACGTGTCTGAAATTCTCAGAGTAAAAAAGAAAGATGCCCTACAAAAATACTTGCAAAATTTCATAACATGATTCTAAGTATATGGTAGGCACTTAGTAAACACTATTGAAGACATGGGTGCAGACATGCATAAATCAATGATAAACACATATTGTGAGCGTGGAACTCTGAGGAAGAAAGGAGGTGGCTGCAGGTGTTGAGTGTGATTCTGTTTTCATTTTTTTTCTTGAATTTGGCTTTCTTGTATGATTGTCTTTGAATAAAATGCTCTGTTAAAAGCAAATGGCAAACTTTCAACAGAAAAGATGCAAGTATATTGAAATTCAAGGATCATTACTAATTTGAATTGTTTGACACACATGATAGATGGCTATAGACACATGACTTTATTAATAGGGTGGGTATCTATGTGCTTCCTGGGCTGACCAAGGACTTCCTTAGTCCTGTGGGTGAGCTTAAACAAACATAAGCCACTGTGGTACTTTCCTGTCCTTTTTCAGGTGTACTACAAGATACTGGGTGATAAAACTCTGGGCTGTGGAAACTCATGCACACTGGTAGCTAAAATTATGCTTCTGGGTAAATTTTCTTCTTGTTAAGAAAAGATGCACTAAGGACAACCTTGTTTTTCCTGCTTCTGCAGTACTGGGTAGAGCAGCATACTGGAGATGGCAGGAGGCAAGAAGAAAAAACTTTGGTTCTTAGTGTTGGCATTGCATCACTGAATTCACCATGTAGGATGTTGTATCTCTGAACCTACCATTGTGTGAGGTAATAGTTGTCCTAATTATTTCAGTTTGTTAGGTTTTCTTCTGTTTGTCTACAGCAGCCTGTATTATCCTAGCAACATGTGGGCCGTGATTATAGAAACTGTAATAAACAGTACTGAGTTAAAATTCCAGGTACATATGTGGGATAATGAATTGTGGAGCACAGTTTCAACTTGCCTTATTATTTCCACACTTGGTTCCATTGGCCACCATATCTATTCCTTGACTGGTGTCTTCAGGATCAAATAATTTACATGTCAGAAAAGATACTGTAAGTCCTTTCCATGGCAGATTACCTGACCCACCTTCACAGAACAACTTCCCACACATGGCATCTCTACAAACAACAATGACAACAAAATTACAAACTTTATCCCAGGATTCAAATTTCAGTCTTATACAATACAAACCAGCCTTTCCCTATTAATATTCTTAAAAATAATATTTCCTTTATAGCAGTGACTTCTAGTTATACCTATGTACAATGTACTTATTCTACACTAAGAGAATCCTTGTGTAGTAAAAAAAAAAAAAACAAAAAACAAAAAAAAAAAACAAATGTGTTGTGTAAAGATCCCTTTACAACTAATTTTTGCCATTTGTCTAAGTTATGGCTATTGGTGGTGAGGGCACAATCTTAAGTGTAAATTCTAGAAGGTGGCCTTGAATAAGGGAACATGACCAATTCTGGTCATTTTTTCTCAGTTTAGAAGATGGAATGTGTGCTATTTGTTTGTGTCAACTTGACACAATCTGTAGTCACCTTAGAAGAGAACATCTCAATTAAGCAATTGTCTTCATTAGATTGGTTTGTGGGTGTGTCTGTTTCTTGTTTAATTATTGTTGTTGAGGGGCCTAGCTTCACTGTGGACAGTGCTATCCCTGGGCAGGTAGTATTGGGATGTGTAAGAAAGCAAGGGGAGCAAGACATGGGGAATGGAGACAGTAATTAAAACTCCTTCATGGCCTCTGCATCAGTCCTTGCCTCAAGGTTCCCTCAACGATGCACCGTAACATCCAAGTATAAGTCATCCAAATCCTTTCTTCCAAAAGTAGCCTTTGGTCAGGAGTTTTAGCCCAGAAGTAGAAAGCAAACTAGGGCTGAATGTGGTAAGTTGGGTTGGTGAAGCATTCACTGAAAGAAGTCCTGGAGGGTACACAAAGGGCAGATCTCTGACCTTACAAAGGTACCAAGAGACTCATTAGTCTTTACAATTTTACTTCCTTCAGATAAACTCTAAAAGATAACAGCCTCGGTTTTCCACAAGAGTGGTCTACACAAAACCAGAGATCTCCTGACACAACACAGCAGTAAGTGTGGCTCTCAGAGTTCTCACTCTGGATCTGTAGGTTAAACTGCTCAACACTCAAGGAAGCCATGGCTGGACACCAGAAAATTCAAGAAAAGCCAAAGCCAATAACGTCACAGTAAAGTGTGGACTTCAGAGGAAGCCTGTGGACAAGTAGTCTAGAAAGGAGAGCGTGGGACTTTTTTATTCCTTCTTGAGACTAGGAAAAATATGGATCATAAACTTAGGAACCCACAGCTTTTCCAAACTCTGCTGGATGCTTTACAAGAATCAGAGGATGATGTGTGACAAGCCTGTAAGGATGGTGCTGGGCACAGGAAATGTGGAGAGAGCTGCCCTCCTTAGGAAATGACCAATATGTCACTAGACGGTTTCTGGAAGAGGATGAAATGTTCACACATCATGTTACACTCATTATTCACTGTTAACACAGCTATAAAGGGTAAGAGGATTCTCACGGGCTACAGGGGAGGGATGGACAAGCCCTACTACCTTCCCACTCCATGTATTGCTTTGATGAACCCTGTATATTTCCCTTTCCATAGCTGTTTCATTTTTGAATTTGCTTTGCATTCCTATAAGATCACACTACACAGTATGTCCTTTATGCCCAGACACCCTCATTGGGTCTCTACATCCCAACTAATTTGTTAATATTAATTGCCAAGCAATATTAGTGTTAATCAGGAAAGCTTTAGAAAGTGCTCCTGCTGTTCAAAGTTTTGTTGTAAATTCTATCTACAAACTTTGGACCAGACACCTTTGGGACAGGAGAAACAATTATTTGTTAAGGACATTTGCTGTTTTTTCATAGGATGGGAGTTCTATTTACAGAACTTGTAACTCCAGGGGATATGATGCCCCTCTTCCTGTCTCTATAGAGGCTCCTGCACACATGTGGCAATACAAACACACCTTAATATACGTAACTAAAATAAATTGAAAAGTAACACATTTAAATTGAATTTTAAAGGTCATCTTCATCTTAAAGTGGAAGAATAAAAATAGATACAAAAATCTCTAGTTCATCTGGTGTGATTTTTACCATTCAGGATATCAATTTTGAAAACAAAATGAGCACTTCGGGTGAATTGTTGGCCACTTTCCTTAGTATAGTCTTTCTCATGCAAATGGCATGAAATATTTAAAAACAAATACATATGTGTGTGTGTGTGTGTGTGTGTGTGTGTGTGTGTGGTTGTTTCTCTGGATAGATAAAAATTTCTACCAAGAAATTCATAATGAAAAACATTAGATTGAAAAAGTATCTTTTAAAATAAAATATTTTTCCAGATGTATTTATTTTATTTGTGTGTGGGTGTGTGTGTGTATCTGCATCTGTGTGACTGTTTGGCCTACATGTATACATGTGTGCCATTTACATGAGGAGGGCTTTGGTTCCCCTGGAGCTGTAGCTACAGATGGTTGGAAGCTTCCACATGGGTGCTGGATTGAACCCAGGTCTTCTGTTGTAGCAGCAAATGCTTTTAACTTCTGAACTATCTCTCTAGACCAGACATATTGTTCTGTTGAACTACAATTAGTGAGCATATGTGGGAAGGAATGTGTCATTGTCCCAGAGGGGACTGTGGGAGGAAAATTCAAACAATCCAGCCACTTACTTCACTTTGCAGGGCATGTGTGTGCCATTCTCTATGTGACAGTATCCATACTTTGACCCACCTTCATTATGCTGGTAACATGACTTATCTGCAACCTTGGTTCCTGGGATCATGTACCGATGAAAATAACATATGTGGGGAAAAATAGATAAGACATGTAATACTATAGAGTATGAACAAAATAGAAAGTTAGCATTAAAAGTACAGAATGGATACCCCTTATCCAAATATCCAAATGTTTTTGATTGCAATTTTTTTATATTTTTAGGTATTTTCATTTATAATTTGAGATTACTACAGAATAGTATCCACTACAAAAGTAAAATTCATTTACTGTTTCATACATACTTTAAACACATAGCTTCTAATCATTTTACTTGTTTTTAGAGTGTCTGAACTTTAACCTGTTACATGAGGGTCATAGGTAGATGTTGACATTCAAAATAATTCTGTATTTGAAGCACCTAGTATTCTAATTTTTTGAGATCAGGGATATATGTTTGTGCTAATTTGGCATGCTTCTACTGAATATTTGCAGACACACATGCCTCAATAATATAATATCAGAATAGTTAGGTAAAATTTAAAATGATCTTTTAAATATCATGTTGTAATTGTGATTTAGGTATTTGAAAATATCTGTATGAGTTTCTGAAGGTTAAAAAGTTCATCCAGACAAAAGACTTAGCCAGAGAGTTGTTGTCATTACATCATTATGTTAGAGACCAACAAGCATTAATAATAAGATACAAAATGCACCCACAACAACGAGCAGTTATGTTTAACCAAATGTTTCCTGTGTGCCAAGTACAGTGCTAAGAATGAATCTTCCATTTCCCATGTAATCAGCCACAGAGAGTATCAGATGGTACTTAACTACCATCTGTACTTAACTACCAATTGTACTTAACTACTAGGCTTGCTCATTTATAAAATAAGGGTGTGTGATGTGATCCATAACTCATAGGTTTGATAAGATAATTCATTGAGGTGATATGTGTAAGCCACTGGGAACAGGGCTTGTTCAGTAGCATGTGGGTGATAAATATTAGCTATTCTTACTGCCCTCCTCAGGTTATCAATAAAGAAGTGGAGACTCAGCCCAAGTCACACAGGAAGATAAGAAGCCAGCTTCAGCCACCTCTCCCCAAACCACAGCCTCGGGCCCTAACTCTAAGTTGCCCCACTCCATGATGAACAACTCTTAAACTCCGGCCAGCTGGATATAAACCTCTGAGGGATAACTAACAAAAGTAAAACAAGCTTATGAAGGGTGTGGTGTGTTCTGTCTTCAAGAAAAATACATGATACTGATTTATAAATGTGAAGCATTTTTTTAGTGAACATCATGTTTTACTATTCAAGATGATAAATACCTTTGTGACTATATTGCTTGGATTATTTGGATCTTAGTGACATATTAATTCCTTATTACAACATTATAGATATATTCTGGGAACAAGTATTTTCTTCTGCAAAAAAAGGAAATGCCATAATCAATATCCCTAACGCCTGAGTTTCAGATTCTAATATATTTTAAGGTATCATTCATGTACCCACCATTAGGACCTTTGTAAGTACCTTTCCCCAACCAGTTACATCAGTGTGCTTTCCCTAGACTTTAAATAAAAACACAGGACTGGAGAGATGGCTCAATGGTTAGGAGCACTGGCTCATCTTCCAGAGGTCCTCAGTTCAGTTCCCAGCACCCACATGGTGTCTCACAAACCTCTATAGTGGGATCCGATGCCTTCTTCTGGCATAAGGTTGCACATACAGATAGAACACTCACATACATAAAATAAATAAGATAAATCTTAAAGAGAAAAAGAATAAATAGAACCATTGCTAGATTAACACACAATCGTTTGTTTGATATATCTTTATTCTTGGATTTTAAATTCCTCTTTGACTACTCATTGCCATAAAAAAAAAGTTGTTAGAAGAAAAATTTTCATTGATAGATATTTCAGAGTTCAGCTGCTAGGGCAAAAGAGGGTAAAACAGTGTCTTCAATTACGTGTGTAATTTTCCAAATCTTTATCACTGTAAACATTTCACTATTCCACATTTTGCCAACAGTGTGTTGTAGCAAGTAAACAATCTGTGCCATATTTCCTGACACCTGTAGCCAGTCTTTATTGGTTCACAAATGCAGAAAGTTAAAGACTAACCCATGTTTGTTAGTATTCTTTACAGAGCTATGGAGTGAGGACAGTTTTGGTCTATTGGTTGGGCATTTCCATTTCCTTACTAAAACAAAGCACCTACTTATAGTGTAATCACATTTTCAGTAGTTTTAGCTTTGATTTACAGGAACATCTTGAGGCTAAAAGTGTAATTTTTAAATATGAATGCATGTTACAAACTTTTTCAGATTAATTTAAAATACATATGACCTTGTATGCATCACAAAACCTGGATTTTGAAGACAGTTCTGTTTTTCTAGCATTTTTATGGTGGCTACCTTTGAATGAACAATTTAATGGTCTACTCCATCTAGTACCTGATAAATATGTTCAATCTTAATTCAGTAGATATTTTGACATCAACTAAAATCAGGAACTGAAAAAAAAAATATATGGAGAGCATATACTGGGCCTGTGGATGATGCGGTATTAAGACTTGGAATGGAGCCCGGCAATGGAGTCAGATTGAAGTTACTACTCAACATAATTACACTCAGTAATAACTAAGTAATAAAGAGGACATGTTGCACTTCACTTGTGCATTTATGGTTTTCCTTCCTTTGGTTTCTTTCCTCTAAGGAATGGTACCTGAGAGTAACTAGCAGAACCAGTTTTGTTGTTACCTTTAGTTTAGAATAGCAACTCCTAGGAAGTGTAAGCAGAATTGCTGAGGAGTGTCTCCAGCACATCTGGGCACCTCTCAGTGGCTTAAAGGCATTGCCCCTTGTATCATATCTTAGTCTATTCTTTTTGGGTAGACAGAGGTTTATCTTGGATTATTTAGGAGATCTTGAGATGTCTTGATTTTCTGGATATTTTGTAGGTAACAGTTTTTCATTACTATCCTTAGTTTTGATTGAAGTTTGTTTTCAGAAATTATGAGAGGTCTATAGCATGCAATGACACTATTGGAATACTATTAGGAATATGTAGTTTCATCTCTTTTTTAATAAACATTCCCTGTGGCATATAAGTAGGAATCTGGAAACATGCAGGCTATGACAATTTAATACATGGTAACATACACATGGCATCCAGGGAGTATGAACATTTTTTTTTCTTTTTAAATGTTGCTTTCTTTCATTTTGTAGAATTTTGTAATCTCTGTGCAGTGGCTTCCTGCTTCCTCCCTAATCCCCCAAAAGAACTTTGCTATTTACTTCCAGGGGTTCAACTTCTTTATAGACTCCACATGTAAGTGAGCACACTTGTACACTCTAATTAGAAAGGTGAATTTCCAATTCAGCTTTTGCATCCAGTTTAAATTTTGAGCTTAATGTTTTCAGCTATCTTCAGATAAAATTTTATTTTAAAGCCTGTGTTATGTTTTCCTTAGAGTGGTCACTAAATTTCGAGTGAACAAAATGGTCACAAAAATATTCTCATGTTTTCTTACTGCTATTCTGCATTCCATGGGTCTTTATTTACTCGTTTCCCACTTGAACTCATGATCTATCCACCAACACTACTGTCACTCCTGTGTGCACATATGAATTTGAATTTGAAATTTAAAAAATTACTTTTGCCAAGTTTGTCTCAGACAACGTATGGTCAGACAGACATTAAAACAATGAAAATGTAAATTTCACTAGAACAGCCTTTTTATTTGCTGCCTTTAAACTTTTGGTCCTAAAAAAATGCCCTCATCCAGTTTGATTCCTCCACTTTCTTGTGTCTGAAGTGTGTGGTGTCCTCAGCAATACAGTCTTACCTTCAAGTTCTGGGAAACAACCAAGGCTGGTGGCAAAGCATGTAATAATATTTAAGGGAGATCTATTGGACACCCCTGAGCCACAATTCCAAGGGCATTTTGTATTGCCTGTCAGTAGGGTGTTTTTTAGATTGTCTATGGTTCCTGGGGGCAAGTCTTATCACTCATTGTTATACAATCTCTCTCTCTCTGTCTCTCTCTCTCTCTCTCACACACACACACACACACACACACTTACTTTTAAGTTACATTATATAACATGTGTCTCTATGATCTAGAATCCTTTTCTCAGAAGTATCAGACAGTTCTTTGCAAGATGCTAAGGGAGACTAGTTCTACACAGCTATTGCGACTTTGACCACAGTAACCAACCCAACAAGATTTCTTCAGTAGCACAATAGTGTCACTTAAATCATGGAGATATCCAGCAGCTACATAATTAGGCTTAATAGCTAGTTCAATAGGAGGCAATTCATGCCTGGCTTTATCAGTAATTCATGGCTTAAGAGGTCATAGAAACCATTATGCTATGACCATTTTTGTAAATCAATACAGCTTCTACTTTTATTTTAAACATTTATCCTTATACACATAAACAACTGTAGCCCTCACCCCCTTATCAATGAAGCTCTTTAAAAATTTATTTTATTTTTTGCAGCAGGCATAGGCTGTTACACAGATCCAAATATGATCAAAATGCAGAAAATACGTAGCTATGGGGTCCCTATCCCCAGTTAGCACATCCACAACAGAACCCCTACACCTCAGGCTCTGGAAACATTATGGAAAAAAGAGCAGGGAAAACTGTAAAAGCCAAAGGACTAAGATGCCTGCTTCAAGATAGTGTTTTCTAGATATGGCCCCATGAAATCTCAATAATGCCATTGCCTAAACAAACCTGCATAGTGACCACACCATTCAATACGTAGAGGGAATAGGAGAATCCATAAGGTCCCATTGCTAGATGAAAATTTTCAGGAACCAGTGGCTATGGATGGAGGGAAAACCAGTTTTTCCACCTATAAGCATCCTTTATACAACCCCAAGTGGTCAGCTCTAAACATATGTATGTATGTGCAACACTAAATGGAGTCAGTGGTGTGTGTGTGTGTGTGTTTGTGTGTGTGTTTGTGCGTGTGTGTGTTAGCAATAATAACTGTAGAATAAAGAGGTTGTAAGTCTGAGAGCAAGTTGAAGGAAAAAGGAGTTAAAGGAAGGGGGTGGAACTGATGTAAATACTGTGCACTCATGCATGAAACTCTCCAATTACAATTTAAAATATACTTATTTGTGACTTTGAGATATTTGTGACTTTGAGAAGTGCCATCGTTTCTAGGAAGAATATGATAGCTTGGTCCTTTGGCCAAGGCCAAACAGCATTATCACTGGGATGATGTAGACATGGAAAGGAATTTGTTTCTGTGATATTAATCTTCATTGCCAAACTGATGTGTGCTAGGTTCACTACAGAAACACACTTCTGGGTAAATCTGTGAGGGTGTTTCCAGAAATGCTTAACTAAGGAAGGAAAGCCCAACTTGGGTGATACTACACAAAAATGAAAAACTGAATCAAGCACAAGCATTCATCTTCTGCTTCTCAACTGGGGATACAGCATAAGCAACTGCTTCAAACTCCTGCAGCCTCAACTTCCCCTGGAACTAAGACACAAAACCAACCCTACTTTACTTAAGCATCTTTCTTTAGGATTTTGTCAGGGTAGAAAGAAAAGTAATGAATGCAGGTCTCACCTGGACCCCACATCTCGATGCACTGCTTCTGTAGGGTGGGACATTTGCCCTTCAAGCAATATCCACGCCCACTTTGGCAAGGGAAACCATTGACTCTAAATCTGTCAACTGGGCAGTGGCTGGATTTACCATCACACATTTCAGGCAGATCACACTCATCTTTTGCTGTTCTGCACACAACCCCAGCCTTTTGAAGCTGCAAAAAAAAAGAAAAGAAAAGAAAATATGAATCACCCTGCCCCTTGCCCTGACACCTCATTGTAATGCAAACAACCCATTTGGTCTTCTGGGCCATGGCATAATCCTAGTGTGATTTATTTTTGCACTGCATCCATGCCATATCACTAGTGTTGGTGTTGGCCAATACTTTGAGTCTTTAAGCAATTAATATTTTGCAACACAAACACTAAAGAAAATAGTAAAATAAAAGGCACCCCAGGCTAAGATGGGCATTGGTGGTGTAGGCCTTTAGTCCCAGCACTCAGGAGGCAAGGCAAAGGCAGGTAGATCTCTATGAGTTTGAGGCCAGCCTGGTCTACAGAGGTAGTTCCAGGACAGGCTCCAAAGCAATACAGAGAAATCCTGTCTCAGAGAAAAGAAAAAAAAAAAAAAAAAAAAAAAAAAAAAAAAAAGACACACCAGCCAATATCTTGGATGGAGAGTAGAGAGCTGTATCTTTCCTTTTATTGAATGCTTCTTTGTCATGATTTATAACATTTAAATCTGCAGCTTCAGGATTTGCTAGCTAAGTGAACCTTCTGCTGGAAAAGTAGACGGCTTTGCAAGTGCCAGATATGCATATTTCAAGACTTTCCCAGGCATCGAGTTTCCTTGGTTCTTTTCATTGCAGATTCTGGTATTTCTGGTCGACTCTTGCTTTGGGATGTTGCATTGTGATGAAAGAAATAACCAAATATGCCCTTGCTATATGAACTCTGTTGAAATAGTACTGTAAATTTTGCCCTTACTTCCTTGGCGAAACCTTGATTAAAAACAACTCCTCTGCCACTTCAACAAATCAGAGGAGGCTCCTCCTTTGCTAGCTGCTTGAGTAGGCACAGACCATCACATGCATGAAACAACTTCCACTGTTTAATACTAGTTACAGAACCAGACCAAAACTGTAGCTGAATTTAACCAACCCCCTGAATGTAATTCCCACTGCTCCAACCAACCTGTTCTCACTAGCACATACCAAGTCCCTTCTTTGGTCCCTCTCTGATCAGTTAGATACTCTTTCTTTTGGGGTCTGACTCTAACTTTAAAAGCATTTCATTTGTGTTTCCTTGTCATCAGAAATAACACTTTCACGTGAAGTGTCTGTCCTCTGACCCCTCCAATATAGATTTCTGCTCTTTTTATCCACCATGTAGTGAGGAGTGAGCCCTTGTTGAATTTAGATTTAAATATTGTGGTTTGGAATTTGGGTCCTGATCTAAGATATGAGATGCCCCACTCAATTCAAAATACTTTTCTAACAATTCCATCAATATAGACAGGTTCGGTCAGTTCATACGATGCAGTCAAGGGAGGCCCTGCAGTGTGAGAAGAAGCACATGGGCAAACTCCCAATGGCCTTGGAGCTGCTCATGTTTGCCCATGTTGGTTTGCTTACTAAATAATGACTGTTTTGTTTGTTTTGTCTTTTTTTTTCCTCAGAAATTATATTGTATGAACTTAAGATAAACAATGTGGCATTTTGGTGTGTGTGTGTGTGTGTGTGTGTGTGTGTGTGTGTGTGAGAGAGAGAGAGAGAGAGAGAGAGAGAGAGACTGTGTATGTATTAATGTGTGTGCATTTGTGTGTGTATGTGTATGTGTGTGAGAGAGTGTATGTATTTGTGTGTGTGTGTGCATGCGTTGTGTGTGTGTGTGTGTGTGTGTGTGTGTGTGTGTGTGTGTAAAATCCATGTATTCCAGGCTAGCCCTGAACCCTTCGGGTAGTCAATGATAATTTTGAACGTCTGATCCTGCTGCCTCTACCTCCTGAATGCTGAGATTAAAGGCATGAGCCACCATACCTGGTTCATGCTGTGTTGGAGATTGAACCTGGCTTCATACATGCTAGGCAGGCACTCTGCCAGCTGAATTATATGCCCATCCCTACAGTCAGCCTTTTTAGAGTTGCGTTTATGAGGTCACACAGCCTCTGTCTCTCTGAGTCTTTCTCTCACTTGATATAATGCCCTCATGGATTACCCTGGATATGACAAGTAAGAGACATACTATTTTTGCACATTTTCTACTCTAAGACCTCTTTCACTCAAAAGAAAAATTAGATAATATCATCTGTGCATTGTTTGGAGACTGTTGAATTTGAAAAGTACCCAAAGAGTAATTGAGTCATTATTTACCAGGAACAAAAACACTGCTCTTCCTGTTTGACTTAATATAACCACTGAAGCATTAATACAGAAAAATGATCATAATTATAAAAAAATTGAACAAATTACTCTTACTTGGCATTTCTCACAGCATTCTCCCAGAGCACACTGGAAACCTGCTTTGATTTTACAGGTCTTGGCATCACAGCATTTGTTAGTACAGTCCTAGAAAATGTCAGCCACAGATGAAAGTGGTGTATCATTTTAGTACAATTCATAGTACAGTTTATTTCTTACATATACACATTTCTGGATGTCATTTAAAATTTCCCTTTAGTAAGATAAAGGTAAACAGAGACTTATGAGTCTGAGAAGTTGGTGGCTTGCATATATCTGATTTTTTATTTACATATGTTTTAATGGACATATACTTTCTACCCTCTTGAACAAATTTATTTCTCACAAATACTTCATATAACTAATCATAAGTTCCATTTTTCTTGATAAAATATGAAGGAAAACAAAAGGAAAGGATTTATTTTAGGAAAATTCAACATAATTAATCTTATTAATTAGTTATCCTTCTATCTCATCTTCAATTTAATTCCATCTGCAACGTAGCTACTGAACATTATTAAATTAGTCTTCAGAATGCATATTCTAGCCATGAATTTATTTCTAGCACATATGCCAGAATAACGACTAATGTGGCTCAACACACTTGTAAGGGATACCATATTGACATGTCAAATGGTTGGACCCCCATGAAAGCAATATGATTTTGATATTAGTTTTTTCTGAGAGAGTCAAATCTTTTCTCTACAGGTGCTGGAGAACCTAGAACCTCTGGCAATTTCCATTGTACCTGTCAAGATTTCTACTGAGAAGTGAGACTGCAAGCGTCACAATATTTCTAGAGTACAAACTTCATCAGAGGAAGATCATACTTTCAGATAGAGCGAACAAACCTTTAATCTTATTCTGACGTTATTGCAAAGCCAGTCTCCAGAGAGAATCATACATCACTCCTGTTAAGTGCTAACCAATTTGGGTAGGGCAGACCCGTATTTATAATTATGGTGCTTGTGAATAGGATAAGATCAGGATGGAGATCTGATTGCTATGCCAACCATTTTTGAATCTTGACAGATCTGGGATATGTGATGTTGCGATCCATTCTGAAAGTGGGTGTGAAAGTCTAAAAAACAAGACCTGGGTCTGAATCCTGACTCTTGCTCTGACAGGGTCTGTGAGTTTGGGGAAACAAATTATTTATAGTGCTATACCTAAGGGGTTGCTCACTGATCCACAGTTGTTTGAGCTGCCTGAAAATTTTCAACCAGAATGCTAGGGATGAAGACATTTGTGAGGGTTGTCACAAAGTCAGGATGGGGAAGATACAGATATATTAAGAGCTGCACACTCCTTGGCAGACTAGACTGAAAAGTACCTATCGATCCAAAGTCCCAAGAAACATTCAATGGTTTTATTGTGGGTCGCATTATCTTGTATACTTTATGTTCTTAACAATTGATAAATGAATTTGGTTGTTTTAGAAAGAGCTATAAGTACCTCAGGGGTGCCACAGTCACATTCCTCATTCACTTCTACTAACTGGTTCCCACAAACTGGGGTGGATATGATATCTGAAGGCAAAGGAATATTATAGAGGCAATGGGATAATTTGCCTTCAAGAAACTTTCCATAGTTGATGCGGCTGCAGGAGCTGAAGGCTGTGGGCATATGGAACCTATGTAGATAAAGAAAGAGAAAAAGGCAGTCCATCATGCTTTAAATGTGTGAAGAAATGGCTGATATCAACTACAATGCCATTTACAAATTACCGCAGAGATTTATGCATTGCACTGGCTAAGTACTAAATTATAGTTATGAGAACATTTTCATTTCTAAATTCACCCACTTGTGTGGACGTAAACATCTCAGCTTAGTGGGTAAACATGACCTTCCTCAAAGTGTAGCATGCTGACTACTTTTAATGAAAACAAAAACGCTTCTTGGGCAGTCATATCTCATTTCTGGATCATATTTTATGCATAGACCTTATTCACTTAGATAAGTATGAAGTGACATTCTTTTTATCTTATAAATGAAGGAGAAAATAAATATGAATGTATGTATATTCACAGAGGGAGAGAGAGAGACGAGAGACAGACAGACAGATTGCCTAGAAATTTTTGTCCAGCAAGTCAGGAATGTAAATGCCTTTTCCAGCCTTTTACTGTGAGAAGTTCACTTTTCCTTTTATTGAAAATAGGTATTTTCTCACATAACATATCCTGGTTATGATTTCCCTTTCTCTACTTCTCCCAGGTCCTCCCCACCTCACCTCACATATGGATTCACTCCCTTTCTGTTTCTCATCTTATAAATGAAGGTGAAACTTGAACATCTGGGAGAAATTACGCTATCTTTGTAACTGGAGGAAAACCAGGTCCTTTTGCGGGGAAGAATGGAAAAAAAAAAAAAATAACCTAACAAGTAGTGTTATCAGGAAGGTAAGAACAAATAATACTAAATTATAATCAAATAAAACATGATAAAGCATAAGCTATCATATCAAAGTTGGACAAGACAAACCAACATAAGGAAAAGAGCTCAAGAGAAGGCACAAGAATCAGAGACCGACTTGTTTTCCCACTCAGGAATCCCATAAAAACACTCAACTGGAAGGCACAATATATACATAGAGGACCTGGTGCAGAACATTGCAGGCCCTGTGAAAGCTGCTTCAGTCTCTATGAGTTCATAGGGCTTTGCTCATGTTGATTGACAGTGTCTTGTTTTGTTGGTATCCTACATCCCCTCTTGCTCTGACACTTTCTGCTCATCTTCTGCAGGGTTCCCTGGGTTCTGAGAGGAGGAATTGAAGGGAGGAGACACCCCATTTGAGGCTGAATGTTTCAAGGTTTCTCAGTCTCTGTGTAATGTTTGCCTCCATTCCCATCTGTTACAGGAAACTGTTCTCATGATGGCAGATAATATTTTTCTTCCTGAGTCTGGGTTACCTCACTCAGGATGACTTTTTTCTAGTTCTATCCATTTGTCTGCAAATTTCATCAATGTCATTTTTTTGAAAACAGCTGATAAATACTTTTACTCATCACCATGTTTTATTCATTTATTCTTCTGTTGAGGGACAGCATCAGATTTTTCTTCAAAAACTCATTTCCCCATTATCACCCACCCTGACTTTATGGAAAATTTGACAAATATTTTTACAAATGTTGAACAAAAATTTTATAAAATTAATTTGTCATGCCATGTACCATGTAGATAACATGAGCATAAACTAATGAGCTGCCTCAACCCCAAAGAGAGAATGTGTTTCTAGTATGACAAGTTTTTAAAAAGTATGTATAGGAGCTGGAGAGATGGCTCAGCAGTTAAGCCCTGGCTGATCCTCCAAAGGACACTGGTTTGATTATAAACACCTATGTGGCAGCTCACAACTGTCTGTAATTCCAGTCTTAGGGGATATTATGCTCTCTTGTGGACTCTAAGAGTACCATACGCAAGTGGTGCACAGACATACATGCAGGCAAAACAACCATGCACATGCAAATAAATAAATATAAAAATACACAGAGGTGCATGTAAGCTGGTATGGCACAGGTTCAAATATCAAATTAGTTATTAATTAAATGGAATTAAGTGAATTTTAATACAGTAATATTTGATTCAATATGACGTATTTATTTATTTATTTATCTGCTGTTGCCAGACAGAATTCATGTAGAAGTGTCACCAATGCCGAGTGCACTGTGTCTGAGTCCAGAGATGAGAGGCTCCATGAGCTGTTTGTTAGTTCAGAACCACAGCTGGTACCTTAAGGGGGTCACATTGTTCAAAATGGCTTCTGCAAACTTGGGTTATCTCTTGCTTTCTGATTATTCTCCCATACAAAACTCTGTGCCAGTAAAATTTTCCTTTGTTTATTATTGGGTGCTATATATAAAAATGTAAGCTTCCTAATTTTATTAAAAGTCTAAAACATAAAGTCTTTTTTTAGTATATGTCACTATGAATTTATTTTAAATGATTAAAATAATTTAGCATCCTGCTTAGCCACTGGGCAAAATCGAGTTAAAATATTGCTTTAGAACCTTCAAAGGAGGTAGGGCCCTGTTAGTGCATCACTGAGCATCATTTGTGCCTGTGATGATGCATCAACGTTTAAAGCAGAGGCTTTACCATCAGTATCTGAAAAGTCAGCTGTCCAGAGTTGATAGTGCTCTTATTAGACATATTAGACATTTCCATCAGTCATTTTTCATTGTGAAGCAAAATACATCTAAAAATTTAAGAACAAGTTGTTGACTATGACCTTGAGGCTAGCACCAACCAGGGGCACACAGCATGTCTCCAACACCCTCACCTTAGTGACTGCTCCATTACACAGACTTCAGATGGGCACTTGCAACTCACGTAGTCATGAATCATGCCGAGGTTGTGGCCCATTTCATGAGCCATTGTCCCTGCAACTCGAAGATGGTAGCTACTGTGGTCCTAGGGTAATAATGGAGAAAATTACATGCACTTCTCATGATGATATACTCTTGAAGATTCTCTCTTTCTCTCTCTTTATCTCTTTCTCTCTCTCTCTCTCTCTCACACACACACACACACACACACACAGACAAATATCAAAAAAACACAAGTAAGTACCATTCAAACAGTAATCCCCAAATTTTGATGTAATCATTTCAACATTAGACAAAGTGGACAGTGCGTAGTGATGAACATTTGTGAAGATTGTTAGATGATAAAAGGTCAGATGTTCTGGGGGAAAAATGACTATACTTATATGAGCACTTAACAACAGATCTTCAGAACCTATGAAGCAAAAATGTGCAGCTGAAAGATTAAAAAAATAAGCTAGCAACTTTGTGTACATGTTTCAACACCTACTTTTCATTAAAACTGAAAAGACCCAAACAACACTAAAATTACATGGATGTTATTGATAATTATAGAACAATAACAGAAGACATTTTTGTGTGAGTTTATAGGAATCATTAAGTAAAGACAAATATCAAAAATCAAAATTCTACAGAGTGCACTCCAGTGCATAAAATTTTTATATAACACTTATAAATAATATATATATATACATATATATATAAAGTCTAAAAAGAAAATTTATGAAGTATTTAAAGTGAAAAACTCTACTCATTGTATTCATCCAACTAAATCAATATATAGTGAGGCAGTTATTTCATTAAAGAAGAATAAATTAAATGCAATATAAATAAAAAAGAATTATTAAGACAAAACCAGAAATCAGTGAAGTTTAGAGGGATAACTATTGAAATCATCAATGATCTTTAGAAAGATAAAAGAAATTGATAAATATCTACTGAAACAAGCCACAACAAAAAAGAAAAGGCACGTATGATCAGTATAATAAATAAGAAGTTAGTTCCATATAGAAAAGACTGTGAGGCTAGAGAGATGGTGCAGTGGTTAACAGCACTGGCTGCTCTTCCAGAGGTCCTGAGTTCAATTCCCAGCAACCACATGATGGCTCAAAACCATCCATAATGAGATCTGGTACCCTCTTCTGGCTTGCAAGCATACATGAAGACAGAACACTATACATAATAATAATAATAGAAATATTGTAAGTCAGTGTTTGACCACTTAAATAAATGGACAATTTTTCCCCCTGAAAGTTGAAACTACCAAGGTTGCTCAAATAACGCTAATATGAACAGTCCAAAAGTTGACTGAATCAATAAAATTTGACTTCAAAATTCTTTCCAAAAGAAAACTACACTCCCATAAAGTTTTATTGGTGAATTGTATTAAACATTTTAGAAGAAACAATAGCAAGTTTACTCCAATAGTGCAGAGAATTAGAGTTGGAATTATATTCCAATTCCTTGAATATATTTATTCTAACAACAAACCTCGGCAAATCACATCATATGAAAATAAAACTGTAGGCTGATACCACCCTTGAGGCTAGAGGCAGAGATCCTGAAGATATATTAGTATTGTGAATTAAGACAACATTTTATGAATACTTCAGATTCATCCAGAATGCAAGGTTAAGTCAACATTTGCCATTCAGTCACTGTATTTACCCAGAAACAGAGAGTAGGACAGCCCTAACTATCTTCTCCATAGACAGAGTAGGAAAATGGGAGAGATGCATAGAAGCAACATTTGATTTTTCAAACATACCTGAATGATGCCAACAGAATGATAAGGAGAACACATTGAAGACATGAAAGCTAGGCCCACCGTTGATCCAGAAAAGCCTGTTGAACTATAAGGAAAAAAAAAGAATGAATGTAAAAAGGGAATATATAACTTTAAACAAGTACTAGAGAAATTCAAATTGCCAGCTGTCACCTAAGTATTTTTCTGGGGTTTTGAAATCATAAAAAGGACTTTTTCTAATACAGACTTACACAGAGCATGAAATTCAAGCATTTGAATATATGAACATCAAATGTTTACCACATGCTCATGGCTATTATAACTTTTATAATTTTCCTTGTCAATTTATAATTTATTCCTTGTCAAAGAAAGAAACTGGTTTTTGCTTGGTTGGCTTTTGTTTTTCTGGGGTGGTTGTTATTGTTTGCCTTTGTTCTTAACAAATGATTGTATCTAATTTTTTGTTTATAAGCTAAATGTCATGTTTTGTTTTAATTTGTATCTTCCTCATACTTTAACTTCTTGTCTTATGTTCTTTTTGAATTGTTTTTGCTATAGTAAGATTTTAGAAGTATTTGTGTTATTGAGTTATTTCTGAACACAAGCAGGTTTAGACCAGTTGCATTTATTTGCTAATGGTTGTTAGTGAATTTAATTTCGCTTTTGAAGTCTCTTTATTTATTAGTAATGGTGACAGTGCCTTCCTTTGCCTATGTTCTTTTGATATCTACACAAGGCTTGGACTCTTGTTTATGTAGTGGAATTTTAAGCACCTGCCAAACCTTTAGTTTCCTAATTGATTCAACTTGTGTTTTTCCACTAAACATCGAAGGAGTAAATATTGATTTTGACATAAAAGATAAGAAAATTAATAGATTTCCCTGTCACTGTCTAATCCCTGTGCATTTTATCTTTTGATCTAATCTGATTTTGTGTACACATTATTTGGAAATTATACTTCTACGTTTTGGCATAAAAATTTATCATCACATCGGTAACCAATTTAACTTTACATTATGGAAGCTTTGATACTCAATATTGACAACATTAACAAAAATAACACCTTCCCCCACTCTGTAATTATCTATTCTCCACGAATAGAGTATATTTGGACTTTAATACTCTTTTATCTGGTTATTCCTGCATAGTTATCTTGTTAATTTGTCTAGTGAATGGTAAGATTTACAATTTATAAATGGAACAGTAAATCTTTCATCCAGGAAATTAGTGACTTCCTGTTTACTATGGTCTCTTCAAGAAATATCTTCTCAGCATACCATTAACCTTTACCTACCCATTCAAATCTTGTCTATGATTTTCATTTCTTTATGCCATTGCTCTGTAGTACATAAATATACAGCAATTTGACAGACTTGGGAGCCAGTCTAGGAAGACTTCAAATCATTTAGGTTTTCCAGCAACTTGAGGCCATAACTCGGGAACTCGTAGCTATGTTCCTCCTTAAAGAACAGACTGTAGCTGGGTGTTGGTGGCACGCACCTTTAATTCCAGCACTTGGGAGGCAGAGGCAGGCGGATCTTTGTGAGTTCAAGGGCAGCCTGGTCTACAGAGATAGTTTCAGGACTGGCTCCAAAGCAATACAGAGAAATCCTGTCTCAAAAAAAAAAAAAAAAAAAAAAAAAAAAGAACAGACTCCACCCAAACTGCATCTCAGTCTAGAAGTCACTCTTCCAAGCTGAGGAGTTGTGTCTGCTATTCTCCAGCCATGGCCTTGAGTGAGTCATTCCTGTAGGTCTCATAACCCGATGACCACCTTTATCTTGGAAATTGGTGGGCCCTATGGTGTGGGATTTTGGTTAAGATCATATAATCATTGTGGTACTGTGTGAATTTTAATGGTTGGTCACAATAAGTCAAGTTTCTCCTGGGATTCATAGAATGCTGATGTGAGAGAAGTCAAAAAGTTTTTTAAATCCTACTACATGTAAGAATATAGTTTGGCCTGTTCTAGCCGTACTATCCCAGATGGTGTGTGTGTGTGTGTGTGTGTGTGTGTGTGTGTGTGTGTGTGTGTAATATATATATGGGTATTAAACTTATAGTAAACTCAAAAGCTTTTAATTTATGTTATGACCAGTAAAATATAAATTATATATAAATTATAAATTATGCATATATGTGCATATATATATGGAATTAAGCTTATGATTAACTCATAAGTTTTGAATTGATTTGTCATGATCAGTACAAAATATAAATGAATTCTACAGGACATAAGCTACTCATTCCCATGTCATGCACTGTTCCCTGAGGCAGCAGACTCTTTAGCCATTTCAAGTTCATGCTGGCAGCTTCCTCCTGTCTGACATCATTAAAACTATGAACTTGTGCAGAGGCACATTCTTGATCTCATCCATCAAAGTCCCATGCAATTTTCATCTATTGTATTTATTTTAGTTCTTGTTTTTTAATGGCCCTTTAGCAGAACAGTCTAAGTATGGGGTTTTAATACAACACTCAGTCTTACCTTCTAACACAGTCTGAATCCCTCTTTTCATGCCTTAGCCTCATTAAAAAAAAATAAACAATACTTAGACCCAAAGCAAAACATATTCAGCAAGTACCCATCTGAGTACTTTCTAAAGCCTTTCATTTCCCTGTGTAGAGCTCCTTATGTCTTACACATGCCCCAAGATATCACTTCATTGCTGAGGCTCTGAAAATAGAGTCTGTGCTTCATGCCATAGAGAGTCAGAGAGGAAACAATACATACGAGATCAACTGGGCAATATCATGATGCTTCCTTTTTAACAGGTCACTCCCTCTCCACTTAGAGAAGTTATTTAGGGTGGTGTTGGCGTCTGGGGTTATCTTTATTTTATCTTCATCGGTCCAGATTTCTATTCCAACTAAGGCCACATGGGCATCAAGCTTTTTGTAAAGCTGTTCAGAGAGAATATAAAGCAATAGGTTATAATAGCTAAATTATATTTTAATATTTCCACTGAACTTTATTGTTCAAAAGCAATCATGTGTGTCATTTCCTTTAACACCATGAGTATGGCTGTACTTTTCCAGATAAAATGCTCATCTGAAAATTACAATTAAGTAACGTCTTGAGGGTTGTTTTCAAGATTGAGATAATGTGGGAAAGAAAGATACTACACTTCCAGAGATTATGGTTCCATCTTGTTTCTTGTTTTGTTTAACTCTCTGGAATAATTTTCTATTGTGATTTGGTTATCAGCATTTTCTTAAGTGCATTCTGGGAAACAAAATCCTACCAAAGAAAGCTTTGTTGTCTTTTGATCCTAAGAACAGGATGGTCTTAATATGCCAGTGGCCATGTCGGAGGAGCTTCAGCCAGCAATGGGCATGTGGAATACAGCCCAGTGGATGGCAAAGCTACTCTGTGTGCATCCTGGACTGAGAAATCCCCATGAGCATTGTTTCCAGAATGCCCTAGGCTTTTGCTGTACTCCCTTCTGCCTTCTGCTGTGGTACTGTTGTATCTGCATGCTGTCGATACTATGTGAAATGATCGAACTGTATGAAGTATAGTGAGATTGTTTCTTGGGAAACTTCCACTCTTCATTAGGCAGTTTACTTGTAGCTCATAATGAAGATGAAGCTTATAAGAGCAATAATGATTAGTTATATCTGTCATTTAACTGGACTTTCTGAGCTAGCCCAAAAGATACAAGTACTTAAGACAGTAAGGATGACTATAGAAATGGTTTAGGTTATTCTGCCAATTGCTCCAATAAAGATACAAAAAAAGCAAAAATAGACTAAAAGTCACCTTCCCCTTTGTTACGTGTGAGATTTTCAGAGGATGGAAAATAAGAACAAGGAAGTCTCATGCACTATAGACCCATGAATGCTGCCTATGAAAAAACAGGCTGATGACTAAAGAATGCAGTTATATCTATATAAACCCAAGGTTAGGCCTGAGTTCTTTGGTCATTAATTACAGAATTAATCACAGGCCCCAGTATGCACCTTGAAAACATAAAGTTGTGAACAGAAATTAAATGACCCTATTGTGTGTAAATAAAAGCAAATGACCAACTGACCACTCATTTACAGTTTCTCTAGAGTAGAATTAAGGATAGAAATCTGCTACTATAAAACTGCAAACAGCTGCCTGCTAGTACAAAAGGCTGAAATATACTTGGCTTGCTTAAAACTTTGTTAATCAGTAATAAAGGAATCATTGCTTTGGGATGAAGATGCGATGGTGGGGAAATTAATACAAACATGTTTAACTATTTGTGGGCTTCTAAGGAAAACATGTAAGTTGTGATCATAATGTGATTTCTTATGTAAAGATTTTAATTTGCTTTTGGAAAATAAGTAATTTGTGGTTATGAGATAATTTTTTCTTGCATAGGAATCTTTGTCTTAGGTGGTATAAAATGGATAAGGGGAAAATAAGGACACAACAAGCTATGGGAAAAAATATAATGAAGACTTAAGCTTTGCTCCACAGAAAAGTGTCCTGTGTGTGGATGCAGCTGTGCCAACACTACACCTCCCCTTTGGCTTCTCTGGCCTGCTGGAAACTGGCCTGGCAGCAGCATCGAGATCTCCTGAAATAGCACAATTTGTTGTCATTCCTCGGAGCCCCTTTCAGCCTTATCTCAGGAGACCTGGCTTCCCTTTCTGAATTCATGTTTATTCATAGAAACAATCAGGGACATATCTTAACAAAGTGCTAAAGGTACATTTAATGAAATATATCATACCATGTTGACGTAATTGGCCATCTCAAACACTCTTTTTCTTATTTCAGCAAGATTTTTATTATACTTCTTAAACTAAAAGACAATGAAAAAACAGATAGGAGCCAATATAAATTAATATAACTGGAAGATCTTTTTAAAAGGCAATTTAAGTTATTTCACAGTGATTATAGTTATCAGTTACTAATATTTAAAAGATAAAAGCAAATCACCTTATTTTTAATGGAAATTAAAACATTTGGGAAATAACATTATGTTTTCTCCCTTGAAATAGCCAGAGAGCATTACAGCTCTTAGAAATTTAGCACACCTGTAATCTCAACAGTGGAAGGCTGAGGCAAGAGGACCATGAGTAAGGACTGCCTCGGCTACCTACCAAGACTCTGTCTCAGGCAAAACCATGACACAATAGAGGGAAGGATTTATTCTAAATGTATTTTAATACAAGCTTCATGATTTCCTAACTGCAGAATCAGTGTAAAGCACAGCTTATCATTTTCTAAATTTGTGCATAATAGATGTATCCAATATGATGACACTAGAGATTAGGGGTCTGGGCTAACTACTTAATTTTCCTGACAGTTCTGATATCCAAGCATTTTCTTTTTTACATTAAACACACAGAGCACTTGTTTAGAAACTCACAATGAGAAAATGTGTTCCCAGAAAATAAATTAAATGCCATCTATAACCAAAGGTTGCCTTTCTCCAAAAAGGCCATCCAATGGGCTTTTGTATTTATGACTGCTCCCTCCAGAATATAAATCTTACACTAATTTACCAATGAGAGCATCATGAGGGAGTGTAAATGGAAACTGAATTTGGATCTCTAAAGACACTAAGAAAAGAGGGTTATAGGACCAACAATCAGATTTATGTATATTTGTCACTTGCTTATATCTGAGAAGAAATACATGTCAATTTCATTATAAATATCAATTTCATAGACAGAATAATTTCTTTGTATGGTTCATATTCTTGATTTCTAAATGGATCTAGAAATGTCTATTTCACACCATAAATTATGCACAAGAGATGCATTTATCTGATTTAATTACCTCACCATTATCCAGGACCAAATAATATTCTATGTATTTCTTGGGTTCTTGAACTGTCCCATCATTCAACTTCTGCAATAAAAGGAAAACCATGACTAAGACAATATCTTTCTCTGTCGATCTTTTACTTAGCATGTCATCTTAGATTGTGTCTAACAGTCAAGGTAGACAACATCACTGTTTTAACTCTACCAAAACATTAAGGCATGTAAGCAGGCAAAGATCAGAAATGCCTGCCTTTTATGTTTCCATTATCAGAAACAAATTACTGAAGGTAGACTCCTACATATTATCTAGTGAGTTGTATATGTATCTCCCATTTTCCCATTTTCCATAGGAACAGAATATTGACTAGCAGTTTCTATGAAGTCATAGTGCTCGGGACTGGGATAGATAAGTCTACTTGGTCCATCAGCTTAGTAACTCACAAGATATAAATGCACGCATGCGTGCGCACGCACACATAATTAGTGATGTGGGGTGGATTCAATGAGTGATTAAAGTTGGGTGAGTAGATAATGGTTTCAAAACACAGGTGCCTTTTTAAAGACTTGGACTATATGGCAAACTCATCAAAAACAGGAACCCAAGAAATTAAAACAATTAGAATGTAATTCAGAAAAGGGGAAAAAATAAAACCCCAACCTCTATAGTTAATCGACAGTGATGTGTTTTAAAAACACAAAATAAAACAAAACAAAAAACAATGTTTCTTCGTCAGAATACATGGAATGGAAAATTCACGGGAGGGGGAATTTACAAACAGACATCTGTAACCCATAGCAGCAGTTTGAAATTTATGCTGAATGTGATGAATAGAAAGCCATCCAAGGGCTTTAACATGCTGCAGCTTATAATGAAACATCACTGAACCTAGGCCAGGGAGAGTAGATTCTGCTAAAGTGGTAACAAACATAGAATGGACAAATACAAGTTGTCATGGTGACCTTGGGACACTATCTGAGAGCCCAGTGAAGAGCTAAAATATGTGAAGAGATGAGAAGACATGAATACTATGTGAGAAAAGAGAAATCAGTAATAATCCCCAGATATGGATAAGGAACAGTGGTAGTGTTTTATTGTATGAGAAAAATGAGAATTATATTGTGTTTGGAACATAAAAATGAGTAGTACTTCTGTTTTACATATAATATCATATCAGATAGTTAAATGGCTAGAAAACCAAATATACATTTTTTTTTAAATAATAGTCAGTACCTAGATCATAAAAAAAACAAAAAAACAAAAACAGGCACTTACTTAGCCCAGGTTAGCTATGTATTTGTTACATATGAGCCTCCTGCCTCCACTTCCCAAATGCTAGGATTACAGGCGTCTCACTTATGAAGTGCCTGGCATGGGCCCTATGGCTCATGCTAGCAAGCATTCTAACTGAGCTTTATCTTAGCCATACAGAGTCTTGTTGAAGGAAAGACGGTATGGGACAAAAAGCAGGAGCAAAGGGCTTCTGATATCAAGTGATACCAAGCATAAGATGGGTGAAAGAAAGCCAACACAACAATAGGTTGGGAAAGCATGGCCATTTCTGCATGAGCCCCAAAGATTCGAGATGGAAGAGCAGAGGCTGGTGCCAACCAGAACCAGAACCATAGGAGAGAAACATGTAGCCAGGACTAGTTCTTCTGGGTTCCAAAATAAAGCTCATGAAATTTCAATCCATGGCGAAAAGAACAACCCCAATTTTACTTAGAAGCAATCTGCCTGGGCCTCACAGATTCTGGGAACACTTGGAAGAGATCATCAAGCAATGAAAGTAAAAAGACAAGAACATTTTAGTACACAGCACACAGCTGGAAACAGCTGGGTTTGTTTTTTCTTGTGTGGTCAGAACAGGCCTTCATAAAAGAAAGAGTATTCTACGGGGCTGAAGAGAAGATAAAAGAACTAACTGCTCGTCCAGAGGTCCCAAGTTCAATTCCCAAGAACCACATGTGCATCACAACCTTCTATCATAGAATCTGTCTCTTATACATTAAATCATTAAAAAAAGCCTGATTCCCTGAGTGGGGGGGGGTAGTTAGATAGGCAGACTATCAAAAATGTCATGCTCTGGGCTCATCAAGAAACTGTGACTCAATACATACATTGGGAATCACTTGAGGAAAGCACTTGACATCAAGTAGGGGTCTCCACAGACACATATAGGATAATGTATACTCATATGCATGCACATACATATTGAAAAGAAACGCAAAATATTAGGACTTAAGTTAGGACACAAAACTTAAGTACCAATAACAATCAAACTCTACATACAATCAGTCTGATGTCAGGTAGAACCACACTCTGATGCAGCCTTTGTTGCCATAACACATCATCCACACCACAGCTACGGTTAGCCTGGTCTTCGTTGGGGTCATCCTTGAAGACTGCATGGGCGTGCTCATCCAGGCTCACAGAGCTCAAAGGTTCAATAAAATACCTTTGATCTCCTTGACTGAAGTAACCCCTGAAGAACACAAGCATTCAGGCTTCTTAACAAAATGATATTCTGTTGGAGTTGCATATACAGAGTCCTTAAAGTCTTCATGACATCCTAGCCAATGCCAAAGAAGTTAAACCTTATGGTAACAAGGGTTTCTGATCTTATGGTTTCTGACACTGGAGATGTTTCTTGACTCAGTCCCCAGTTTTCATCCTGTTCCTACACTGCAGAGGCCTTGAAAGGAAAGGACACTTTGGAGTCTTGCAGGGGATTAAAATTCTAGGCCTGTCTCTGATTAAGAGTCCAGAGAAATATTATTTAATTAAGTTGCCTCATGTTTTAGTCTATAAAACAGAAAAATAGAATGGCTAGCTGTGAGGAGGATGGTAGGGGTGGAAAGAGAAAGTAGGTGAAGCATGTGGTCAGGGATGATTTGCAGCTTCTTCATAAACCATGCTACTGAATTCTGAGCTGACTCACTGACTACCCTTCTTGATTGCTCTCTGCATTGTTTTTAAGGCTCACTAGCTTTTGTGTAAGTGATGAGTAATTCCAGTTGTGTTTTCATTTCTTAATTAATCTAGAGGTCAATTGGTTTAAAATTGGTTTGCATCATATTTAATGAGACTATGAAGCACTGTACTAAAAGCAGGGGATAAAAGAGATCCACAGTCCCTTCGTGAATATTATATTCAAAATGAGGAAAATGGATGTGGAGAAATAATATATATATATATATATATATATATATATGTAATTAGTTTGCAAAGGCATATATCAGGCAACTCTATCTGATTAGTATGGAGTAGAAATGTGTGAATATAGAGTGTTTAGCACTGGAAGACAGCAAGTGTGAATGTTTGTTTCAAATGGTTTAGTTGAAGAACTTAAAGTAGGACGTTTCAGTAGAGACAGATGTAGTGAACAATCAGGAAATAACTAGAAGACATGATCACTGGATCTTGAAAGGAAATGGAGGCTGGAGGGATGAGGCAGGGAATCTTCAAAGATTTCAAGATCCCTGACTAGCTAAATTATTACTTGATTATTCCATCTGGGTGAGGTCAAAAACACCGGAAAACAATGATCTGTGAGACAGTTGGTATGGTTGGTTTAGAACACACTGACACTTGAATTCTTTAAGGTGTCCAACTAGAAGTACATTAAAGCAAATGGGTCAGTTCTTGGTGTTGATGAGATAGGATTGGTAGAGCAGTACCTGAGGTTCACTGACATGCTTAAGAAAAAACACTAGAGAGAAATAAAAGTGAGGAGAGAAAGTAAAGGAGCCCCTACTCCATCATAGTCTGACCATTAAATTGAGTCTCCAAATCTTCACTTTTAAATGAGAAAAAGAAGAAAACAGAAGGCAAAGGTTCAGTTGTATCATTTTCATGCTTTAAAAAGAAACAGAGTTTTGATATGCAATTTCAAATTTTGTAGCCTTTAGGAATCACACTTAACTATATTATATAACTACTTATACTTGTGGGTCTTCAGGCTTATCATATGTGAACTCTATATCAGTGGGGTGTGGAAATATTCCTGAAGTCTCACCTTAGACCTTGACATGTGCTGATGCTGGCTTGGGAAGCTTTCTCATTTATGATGTGTCCTTGGTAGTAACAGCTATCCTAAGGGAAATAAAAGGTACTTTGTAAGGAAAGTTTTCAGAAGTCTTAGACTCCACAACTAATTACAATTTGAAATCCTTTGACAGGAACAATTTCCTGCTGCACAGTCATTAAGACTTTAAAAAAATTAAATATAAGAATTTTATGTGTTAAATATTTCATGAAAATTAATGATTCTCCAAACATTTACATTATGTAGTCTGAATATTATATATAGTACTGTAAATATATGTGCTATATAACATTATATGCCACATAATATATTATATATATTATTATATTCGTGATGATGAAACAGTACAAAATAGCTGAGCACTATTTTAAAAAAATGGATTTAGTTATCTGACTTTAAAATCAGAGTCTCCAAAGTACTCTTTGTACTTTTTCCAATTTGGAATGGCTACCCCCTCCCTTATTTTAAACCTATGGGTTGGTTATTCCGGTTGTTTGTCCAAAGAGTCAAACTAGATTAAAATGAACCTGCACAACACTCCATGATTCTATTTGAAGCAAAGTGCCGGAAATTTCTCCATGTGGCTGCTACACACCAGACCCTTCTATCTTGGAAGAGATGTGGCATTGGCCTACATAATTGCAGGTTTGAGATCTGGCAGCATCGAAAGAAGGACCTGAGGAGGACACTGTGCCACAGTTATGGACTCAATGTGTCATGCTCCATATGCGGACCTTGGGGGACAGATGAAGAGCCAAGTTACTTATGACAATACTGAGTTCTACAGTTGATGTGGAAGAAGTAGTCTTGAGTGTGACAGACCATATAATTTGAAGGTGTGACAGTAAATGGTTAAAAATAGCAAGCATGCTGATCTCTTCACACTACAGAGTCCTTTGCAGAAAACAACTCAAAAAAAAAAGGTATGTTCTTATTGCCTGACTCCCATGAAATGAAAAAGGTTACTGAGATCCTCTATCATTCTTAGGAAAATATAATACTGTTAGAAGATCAATTAAGTAATTACTTCTGTTGGAGAAAAAAAAATAAGTACCAAGGCTCTAAAAGCAGTTACAGCCCTATTTTCCTGGCAAGGACTCTATGTGTAGGCTTGCAGGGCACACTGCATTACCAAGGGTCCTGAGAGGCTGTTTTACCATGATTTGTGGGCTTGTGGTGACCTCCTTTCCACTGGAATTATAATATGTTTCCGAGTAGCCCGGTGCTAGGAGCTTTCTGGAGAAAGAAAAGGAAGAACATGGTTACACATGTCAACTGTTAAAGTCCAGCAAACGAATAAGACTTCCCAGACAAGTTTCAACTCTTCAGCTTCTCCTATGCACCAGACAAGTCCATACAAGAAAGTATTGCTCACACCACTGGCCAGGCGGGATAGGGTGGAGGTGCAGGGACATTTCAGAGGGCTGTGGACTTCAGGAGAAACTTGAGAAGAAGCAGAACTGAGGTCAAAGGTGATAGGAAGTGTGATAGGTACTTGCAAAAAGTTTGGCACCAAGGTGTAGCATTACACACACACACACACACACACACACACAGACACACACATCTCAGTCCTTACCAAAGGACAGTAGTGTGAAGCCCTTTCTCAAACACACAGACAGACAAACAAGCAAAACTTAAAGCAAATTATATTGGAACCACTCTAAATCTGTCTTCCTGCACCTCATTGTTGTTTTACTTATAAAGTTTCAAAAGCCTAGTAAACTATTGTTTTCCCTAACATGTTTCTACTACTGTAAGAGAAGAGAATTCACTGTCCCTGACCCCTTGGGCCCCTTGAGTGAAGCGTTGGACTCACTAATGCTGATAACAGGCTCTGCCGGCACACTCTCCCCTCTTCAGCTTGTTGAGGTGGGTTGGGGGGGATAGCAGCTGGACACATACTCACTTGTTCTTCTTCAAGTACAGTACCGCCACCTTCCCATTAACTGTCATTTGGTACTTCAGTTCAGTTTCAAATGCTTCCTGCAAAAAATGCACCAAGATTTTTACTTATAATCAAAAAGTGGCAACTTCTATGGATTTAATCCTCAGCAGGTAATGCTTGCTTTTCTCTAACAGTGGACTATGAGATTGTCCAATGGTCACCAGAAGTTTTCAACCTGTGGGTCAGGATCCTTTGGGGGGTGTATCATATCAGAGATTTACATTACAATTTATAACAGTAACACCATTACAATTAGGAATTAGCAATATGAGGAATTGTATTAAAGGCTGCAATATTAGGGAGATTAAGAATCACTGGTCTCTACTCTGATCAATGCACCAACTAAATAGATGAATTAGTTCTCTCTCTCTCTCTCTCTCTCTCTCTCTCTCTCTCTCTGTGTGTGTGTGTGTGTGTGTGTGTGTGTGTGTGTGTGTGTAAGCATTTAAAGTAGCAGAGAATCTATAAGAAAGGGTAGAGAGTCAGAAATAAGCATTGGTGAGGAGAGGAAAAGACATCATCAACACTCATTGTCAAATAGCTGATGCTGCAAAGAAGTGAAAACAGCCCATTCACAGAAACCAGAAAATCCTTGAAAATGAATCATAAAGCATGTGACACAATGGGCACCACAGGCATAGCCCTGAACATGGAGTACTTATTTCCAACCTACTTCACTTTGCATAAGTTAAGTCTTCTGTTTCTATGCAGTATAAGCACCATCCTTATCATATGCACATGAGGGTAGAGTTTCCCACAGGAGAATTAGCAAAGCTAAATGTGTACACACACTTGCCCTTTCCGTTAGTTAGGTCACCAGGATAATGTAAGTCTTGAGTGGCTGTTTAGAGATAACCTAGACAAGCAATGTGGCTGCATTAAGACCAAGCACACCACTCTGAAAACCAATATTGTGAGGCTGAAGAAATTCCTCATCTGCTAAGAGCACATGCTTCTCTTTCAGAGGACCCCAGTTGGGCTCCTAACACCAAAGAGTGGCTCAAAGGCACCTTTAACTCCATCTCCAAGGGATCTGATGACACTTTTTGGCCTTTATAGGTAACTACCTGCACTTACACATACATATACACAGACACATGGCACATACACATAAGTAATTTTAGAACTAATTAACCATCTACCATAGCCAATAACTAATCTTTGGTTTCATACCGACATACAAATTCCAAATAAAAGCTAGATTTGTGAGGAAATAGCTATAACAAACTTATTTTATCTGTATTCAAATTTTCTTTTTTTTTTTTATTCTTAAAGCTACTGTTTTTTTTTTTTTTTTATTTTTTTTTCTCCTTCCCTCCCTGTCTCCTTCCCTTCCTCCCTCAAATTTTCTTAAAACACTCAAAAAAAATGTTGCTGGCATTTTTGATACTGAAAGAAATTATTTGAAGAAAATTACCTTGAAAAAGACTCTGATGCAGATGGATTCAATCAGAGTTAGTGGGATGTTTTCCTGATAAAGATATTTTGAGGGAGAAACTTGTGGAAACTAACTGTGTAAAGACGTGTTATATTTATTTATGCTATAGAACATTGCTTTAACTGTGTAAAGGTGTGATACATTTGTTTATGCTGCATTTGTTTAATTATGAAAATGTGTTGCTGTTTTACCTTGCCTGAAACAGATAAGGCACCTGATTGGTCTAATGAAAGGCTGAATGGCCAATAGCCAGGCAGAGCAAGGATAGGCAGGGTTGACGGGCAGAGAGAATAAGTAGTAGGAGAAATCTAGGGTCAAGAGAAAGGGAGAAGAAGAAGGACAAGAGAATGTGGGTGAAAGAGAGGGGTCATGTCCAGAGCCAGAAGCCAGGCAGTAGCAAAACAGACACTGGAGGAAGTAGGAAATTAAGACGGAAGGAAGGAAGGAATGAAGATAGGAAGGCAAATAACCTCAAGGCAAACGGTAGATAAAGAGAAACAAGTTAAATTAAAAGAGCTAGCCAGAAAGAACCCTAAACTAGGCCAAAAAATTCAAAACTAGTAAGTCTTTGTGTCATGATTTGGGAGCTGGCTGGTGGCCCAAAAGGAAAAGCCTGGTACACAGACTCTACTAAGAGTTTTGCTAGTACCTATTGGAGTTTGAAGAAAGTCCATGATGGAATTTTCTTATAGGGGGATATGCAATCTGGGCTAATTACATTTTAGATTGTTCCAGTTTTCAGTTATATCTCATTTATCTCTGTGTTCCTGACTCCCATCAAATGTTGCAGAACATAGGAAATTAGAATATTGTTGTTGAATGGAACATCATATTTTATTTCATAGATAGGCCCTCTAATTATAGCTCAGGATGACCTACAACTCACTATATAGCCCAGGATGGTATTCAAATCACAAACATAGGCCTGGAGAGATGACACAGAGGTTAAGAGCACCAATTGTTCTTCCAAAGGACCTAGGTTCAATCCCCAGCACCCACTAGCAGTTAACAACTATCTGCAAATCCAAGATCTGACATCCTCACACAAATCATACATTCAAGCAAAACACTCAATGCAAATAAAGAACTAAAAATAAATAAGAAATTAACTCTTTAAAAAAACCAAAAACAAAATAAAAAAAAGTCAAGTCACAAACATACAAACAATCCTTCAGAAATTAGGGTTGTCTATATATCCATGTGGAGATCTGAATATCATGCTTTAGATTTGCTCTTGTGACTAACAAGAATTCTGAGCTAGTGTTGTCTGACAATATGTTATTTAATTAAAACTTAAGACTTTTACGAATTTGAATGTTGTCTACATAGAAAAAATACAGATTTCAGATAAAAATGCTAATTCACTGTATATAGTAGGGCTACTGATTTTTTTTTTGAGTTAATCTTGTATTCTGCCACTTTGCTGAAGGTGTTTATCAGCTGTAGGAGTTCCCTGGTAGAGTTTTTCAGGTCACTTATATTAACTGTCATATTATCTGCTAATAGTGAAAGTTTGAATTCTTTCTTTCCAATTTGTGTCTCCTTGATCCCCTTTTGTTTTCTTATTGCTCTAGCTAGAATTTCAAGTATAATATTGAACAGATATAGAGAAAGTAGACAGCCTCGTCTTGTTCCTGATTTTAGAGGAATCGCATTAAGTTTTTCTCCATTTAGTTTGATGTTGGCTGTTGGTTTACTGTATATTGCTTTTATTTTGTTTAGGTATGTTCCTATTACCCATGATCTCTCCAAAACCTTTATCATGAAGGGGAGATGGATTTTGTCGAAAGCTTTTTCAGCATCTAGTGAGATGATCATATGATTTTTCTTTTTCAGTTTGAGTGAGGTAACCCAGTCACAAAAAGATGAACATGCTATGTACTCACTCATATATGGACTTTAAACATGGAGCAAAGGATCACCAGCCTACAATCCACACCACCAGAGAAACTAGGATACAAGGATAACCATAAGAGAAATATACAAGGTCCCCCACAGAAGGCGAAAGAAACAAGATCTCCTAAGCATATTGGGAGCAGGGGGATGGGGCCAGTAAGTGGAAAAGGAGTTAGGAGAAAAGAAGGGGAGAAGAGAAGGGGAGAGGAGAACATGAGAGACCAGGAAGATTGAGTCAGGGGAGGAATGGAGCAGAGGAAGAAAAGAGATACCATAGTAGAGGGAGACATTATATGTTTGAAAAGAAAATTGGCACTAGTGAAATGTCCAGAGACCTAGGAGGATGACCCCAACTAGCAATCTGAGCAATAGTGGAGAGGCTGCCTTAAAAGTCCTTCCCTAATAATGAGATTGATAACTACCTCATATGCCATCCTAGAGTCTTCATCTTGTAGCTGATGGAAGCAGAAGCAGACACACACAGCTAACCACTGAGCAAAACTCCTGGAATCCAGTTGCAGAGAGGGAGAAGTGATGAGCAAAGGGGTCAATACCAGGCTACAGAAATCCATAGAGACAGCTGACCTGAACAAGGGGGAGCTCATGGACTCCAGACTGATAGCTGGGAAACCAGCATAGGACTGACCCAGACTCTCTAAACGTGGGTCTCAGTTAGAAGGCCTGGGCAGTATATGGGACCTCTGACAATGGAACCAGGATGTATCCCTGGTGCACAAAAGGACTTTGAAAGTCCATTCCCCATATAGGGATACTTTCTTAGCCTAGAGACAGGAGGGAGGGCCCAGGCCCTACCCCAAATGACTTCACAGATTTTGATGATCCCTCCTGGAAGGCCTTACCCTCCCTGGGGAGTGCTTGGGGAATAGGACAGGGAGTTGGGGAGGCATGGGGGAATGGGAGGGAGAGGGAACTGGAATCAATATGTAAAATAAGAAAAGTAATAATAATAATAATTCACATTCTTTTGCAAAGTTTTATTTTCTGATTAATAATTTAAGGCAATATTTATGTGTGTGTGGATAGATGATAGAGAGGTAAATAATAAAACAAGAATATTATATATAATTATTTGGAAACATGCAGCATAACTTATCATAAAATATCAAAGTCTGTAGTCTATGACTATGGACCATGCATTTCACTTCCTAGAGCTTTACTGTATAAATTGAAACTAGTAGAACTTTGAGCTGTAGTGAATAATAAAAGCTTGAAAAACAAACTAATCTAATCATTAATATTGTTAGTCTCCAAAGCAATATATACATGCATTTTATATATATACATATGTACATATGTATATACATACATACATACATACATTCAAGAGTCATTGAAAAACCAAAAAAGTTACCTAGAAAATGGCTCAGTTGGTAAAGCGCATAATATGTAAGCATGAGGACTTGAGTTCTGTACCCAGAACACACCCAATTAAAAAACCTGGCATGATCTATGCTTCTAATCCCAGGCAAGAAGACATGGAGTCAGGTAGATCCTGGGACTCACTGGCCAGCCTAGTTCTGGATGAGAGTGTTCCAATCTATTGACAGATTCAGTCTTGACAAACAATGTAAGAATGACCATGATCTCCTCCTACATGTTCTCACAGGTATACACATGTGCACAGGCATGCACATAGGCTGCATGGACAAGAAAGAAGACAACCAGAGATGTACTAACCTTTTCCTCTGGCTCTTTGGCCTCTCTTTTACGCAGTGGGTGAAGTCTTATCGGATAAACCACTTCATATTTCTTGGCCTTAGGGAATTCTTTTGCTGTGTTTGCTGTGGGAGAAAGAAGGAAGGGAAGATGACAGTTTAGCCCAATGATTTCCCAGAGAATAAAGTAGTTATTCCTTTTTATTTTATTTTTCTGAGAATCAAAGCAAAAAAAAAATCTAGTGATGTCGTTTGGAATGGTTTTAAATCGTGTGATTGCACAAGAACAATTTAACCCAGGAGGTTAGAAAAACTCATTAAGCTCTAAGGGTGCACTCAGTCAAAATGGCAATTAAGATAATGAAGGAAAGAACCTTTCCCTCCATGACTTAAGGCTTACTCTTAGAAAACATTTCAAAAACAAAGCTAAGGCTGAAGAGATGGTCAGTTCAGGGAAGTGGCTGCTCTTGCAGAAGACCCAGGTTCTATTGTCAGGACCCAAGTGAGAAAAGCCCAGATAGTGAAATCAACAACTAACTTATCCATGGAGCCCTCATCTAATACCTGTTGGAAACAGAAGCAAACGCCCATACATAAACAGTGAGTCAAACTAGAACCCAGATGCAGATGGAGAGGACAAGACCAGGCGGCAGAAACACATAGAGACAGCTGACCTGAACGGGCCCCCAGACTGATAGCTGGGAATCCAGCATGGGACTGACTTAGACCCCCTGAATATGGGTCTCAGCCAGAAGGACTGAGCAGTCTACGGGACCTCAGGCAGTGGAACCAGGATGTATCCCTGGTGCACAAAAGGACCTTGCAAACACATCCCCCATGGAGGGATAACTGCCTTAATCTAGAGACAGGAGAGAAGCCCTAGGCCCTACTTCAAATGACCTGTCAGATCTACATGACCCCCAACTGGATGGCATTCCCCTACATATGGAATTGGGGTGGGGGATGGGAAGGGAGGGCAGACAGTGTGCATGTGAGGGGGCAGAGAGGGTAAAAGGGAGGGAGGGAAGGAGGGAAGGGGAACTGGGATCAACATGTAAAATAATAAATTAAATAAAAAAAACTCATAAATGTGTGTAACTCCTGTCTAGAGAATCTGATGTCCTCTTCGGCCTCCTTGGTCACCAGGCATGAAAGTGGACTACAGAAATACATATAAGCAAAATATCCGTATACATAAAATTGAGAATATATAAATAAATAAAAACATTAAAGTCATGTGCAGATCCTACAATATCTTCCATTTAGATTTGGAAAAAATTTAACTGCTTGAAAAGATTAAGCTGTGTCTAAAATGTGTATAGTAGTCTATAATATTATACAAAAAAAAAAAAAACCACAAACCAAGACAGTGTCTTCCAAAGGGCTATGGTCTCTTTAGCTGTGGCAAACAAGTCTTTGTCCTACTTCTGTAATAATAGTACAAAGCTTTTCTTTTTATTTCTTTCTTTTGTCTTTTCATTTGTTTGTCTTTCACTTAACCAGGGACCCACTAGGCTAGCTTCAAATTCAAGATAATTCTACTTCCAAATTCCAAAGCTGAGTTTTTCTACATCCCTAAGCCCAGTCCACAAACTCATTGAATTTCTCATTTCTTGGAGTCATGATGTAATCAATGTACTCTTTATTTCTATGGAATTTAATATAACTTCATTAAACACATATGCAAGTCATTCTAATGTTGGTGAAGAAAAGTAATAGTATTAGTCCCAAAATAACATTTTAATGTTCTAAAATGGGGGACAGTCATTCTCTTCTGTTAAAATTTTGGGATTACTTCAGAGCAATGAGATGCCAAGAGGTAAGAAAGAGCTCTTGCCAGAAATGAGCTAATGGCATGGGGGAAATTCCCTACAGCCTCCTTTAATTCACTGGCACAGAACAAACACACCATACGGTGCCAGCATGCTACCTGGTGTATTATGGTGCCTAATCATCTCAATTATCCCCATAGACACTAAGTTATGAAGCCACGGCTCATGAATGTTGGAGCCTCAACATTAAATGCTATACCAGGAGAGGAGTGGGGCTGGGGGGGGGGGAGATGGCTCAGTGGTTAAGAAAGCTTTTGGATCTTCCAGAGGACCCAAAATTCATTTCCTAACATACATTTAAGGTGGCTCACAACTGCCTGAAACTCCAGCTTTGGAGCATCTGACGCCCTCTTCTGGTTTGCACAGATTCCTGCACTCTGTGTATACACACACATTCAGAAACACAATAAAAAAGTAGAAATGATTTTTTAAATGCCATTTTGGAGGGATAGAGAAAGGGCTCTTGTTTAAGTTACTCTTCCTAAGGATTCAGGTTCTATTCCTAACACCCACCTGGTGATGTACAACTGTCTCTAAGATCCAACACCTTCTGGCCTCTGCAAGCAGACGTACATGCAGATAAAAGACCCATACACATAAACATGTTTTTAGTTTTTTTTTTTTTTTAATGACAAAAAGCCATATCACCGGGGTGGGGTTTATTCACAAGTGTGATTCTAACAGGAAACCAGTTGAAGTTTCCTTTGAGTCATAAAGGGATGACAATGTCCTTCCTATAGAGAAAGAACATGGTAGCAGCACCACTTCTCTTTGCAGGAAAAGTGAACAGGGAACTAGGTCACCCCATTCAAGAACAAGCAGCTTTCTGTGCTGTACCTGTTGAAACCACACTTCCAGTTAGCCTGAAGCCTGGTATTTCATGAAACCAAAAGTCACCAACAGAGTTGTTAGCTATGCAGTCAAAACACGTAAACTACTTACAAAATTTATTTCCAACTCACTCTTTGGTGGGGAGACACTACCAAATAGAAACCAAAACGAGCAAAAATATTTCTTTTTAAAGTCTTTAGCAACAACTTCCCTTAGTTATATGAAATAAGTATATTTGCAGTTCATTCCAACTCTTGCAACACAGTTCTCTAAAGAAAGCAGATAGGATTACTCTTAAAAGGCTCCAATTATCCTGAAAGCTAGAAGGCCCTAGAAATAGGATATCTCAGATGTAGGGGTTTCCACAGCAGAGAAAGGGTTGGAGCAGATACAGATATTGTTTTGTTAACTTATCTTTTCATTTGATGGAGATGGGGCAGCCTCCTCCCAGGTGAATAAAATCAAGTTAATTATTTAGAAGCCAGTGGCACAAACAGAGCTAACTGCCATCCAGGGATTACACAAATCCAAGGTGAAACACAATATGTTTCTATTAATTTATTTTCATGCTTACCTTTCATTCTTTCTCCCATAGTACTCAAGTGTTGGATTAGTTTTGACTAGCAAAACTGGATCAAGAGAGAGAAAACAGTTATTTTGGTTTGAGTTAGAGATGTATCTGAGTGTGGTCGTGGGTTGGATTTTTGTGTAACTGTTCATTAGTTTAAAAATAAAGCTCACTAAGGAGATTGACATAGCTGACCTCAGGCTATAATGCTGTTCTATCTGGATCCATTTTGGGACATTTGCGCATAAAATATTGGCATCTGCAGTTTGTTCCAAATCTGTTAGAAATTGTTCCGGGGTTGTCTTTTCCAAACGAAGCACCAAGGCTTTAGTTCATGCAGTGACATTGGCTCTCTGACCACTCAGACTCTTGCACTTTTAAATGTTATTCAGTAAAAATGAATATAGGGGGACACTGGAACTCATATCCTACTGAAGCATATTATTTGGCTTTATAGGTTAAATTGTGTACAATGGCTTATTTTTTCCAGTCACCTCATAAAGACCAGAAATAACTGCTAGTGTAAAATAAATGTATTTTTTTTTAAGCCACTGCATCCCTGGGTACATTCCTGAAACAGGCAACTTGTCCTTTGTCAATGCACTGATTGACTTCCTCTTTTCCTCTCCATGTCTTTAAATGTTTGTTTTTACTTTCCCTATGATGAAATCCCATGTCACCTTCCTCAGGGGATGGTAAAGCTCATTACAAGCATCTGGCCTGATTTTACATATTCTTATTTTATTTCCAGTGAACCAGGTAAAGGTTATGGCCAAAGGGCACATGCATAGAGTATTGATAATGTAGAGGGAAACATAAAGAAGAGGAGTTAAGAAAACAAATCTCTTGTTGCTTGTAGTCTGTCTGGAAAACCAATCCCTATGGGGAGTCTAACAAGGATACTTCAGTGGACAGGAGAGAAGGTGCCTTTGAATGGGTAACAGGAATGGTAAAGAAAAGCAGATATGTGGCATCCTATTTATGATGAATATCTCCTCGCTAGAGAGAAATCAGAACCCCTGTTAGCACATCTTTAAGATGACATCATACTTCTAAACATGACTCTAAGGCTTTACACATCTCCTGCTGTCATGTTCTGATGCAGAGTTGGAGGAGCAGAAACAGTCTTGTTTCTGCTGATTTCTCCCTAAAGTCACTGAAATGACAGTGGCATGCATAGGTCCCACTATTACCATGAAACTCTGTCACTGGATCTACCTGATCTTTCTCCTTTGAACAGAGCTGGATCCCAAGCAGTTCTATTTCTACGTAGAGTGGTGTCCCCAACAGTACCGGGGACAGTGTTTTTAGAAAATGTGAGGAAAGAATTCTTATAACCTTTTCAATTCTTGTCGATCAGACTTGGAGTTTGAAGTCAAGAGTTCATGTATTTAAAGGATAGATTAGTGTCCTAACTATTTAAGGTGGTTAAGTACAATTTTCACAAGTCTGAAAAACAAAGGAGAAGCCATTTTTAGTAAGAAGGTACAGAGAGGGTTAGGGAGGAGGGCACAACGCCTTCGCTTTTGTTCATCATTCATTCATTCCTGGATCCCAGCAAACTTTCTATGGTAAAACAAACAAACAAACAAAAATTTCCAGTGAGGGTGACAATTCAAGTTCCAGACACAGACACAGACAAGCTGGGGAAATGTGTAATCAGATCCCAGTCATACAAACCTAAGCTGAGAATTAAAATGGAGCTACCTATTTGCTATAACATGTTAAGAAGTACTATTCACTATATCTAAATTCTTTGATGTTTGCTATAACCAGCGAAAGGAAAGGCTATCCATACACACACACTGAACTGAAACTCCTCCTCACTAATAATATTGCAAGCCTTTAGAACTATAAATCTGAACATGGCACCCTGCCCATTAACTACCTATTACCATAAAGAATAAAAACATGAAATCCCAAGTCGCCAGTCCTTGGTAGTCTTAGCCAGTTAAATCTGCTGTTTTATTGAACTAAGTATTAACACAATTAGTCTTGACAGCTTCTGTTTCTTGATTCAGAGATCACATTCACGGTTCAAATGTATAAGAGCTTCCCAGTCTTTTTTTTTTTAAGGTACCAGAGCTGACATATGAATTTCAGAAACCTCTATTTGTTCTCCTTCATATCAATCACAGCCCCCAAACCACCGATTAAAGCCAGCCCAATTGGCTAGTAAAACTGGTAAAAAGGGAAGAAACTGCGAGCCAATGTATCATATACCATAACACTAGGAGCAGATGGGTAGCATGCAGTCTGGTGACACATTGAACAAAACCAAGAGACAGGTTAATGCCTACCTGGAACTGGAGAAAGGAGAAAAGAGACTACCAGAAGACTCCATTGCAACATGCTGTGGTCCCAGGAGCAGCTCCTGCCTCCGCTCACACCTGTAAGGCTCCTTCTGTCCCAGCCTCCTCTTAAGGGAGACAGAATGAAACTCCCTGCTTCATTGTGTACGCTTGAGCAAGTGTTTACTGAAGGTGTTGCACAACTTAGGATCTGTGGTCCTGCCGCAATGGCATGGCAGGCGGAAGTCCTGACCGCCTCTTGGCTGGCTCTAAAATTTCCTGTATTAGCAGCTATTATTTCCCTCACTTTATTCTTATGTTCCCCATTCAAGAGCAAATAGCAAGTTTCCAATGTGTTATTATAGCTCAGTAGGTCACAAGGAAGTAATTGCCTTGACATTTTGATATATACACTAGGTTGTATATTACATTTGGGGTATGCACATGCTATATTGTATGTACATGTTACATATAATATATTTAAATGTATGGATTTATCATTTTCAGCTAAATTCAAAAGGTAAGGAGACTATTATTTTTCTGCATACATGTTTTATAAATAATTTCAAATTCCTTCTAATATCTATGTGAAATTCTTATTTCCAATTACCTTGCACATTATTCTCACACAATGATGTTCACAAGAATCTCAGACTATCCAGAAATAAGATGTTTTTAAAGACAGGATTTCACAAATCCTAGGCTAGGCTCCAACATACTGAGTAGCACAGAATGAACTTGAACTCTTTACTCTCCTGCCTCCAACCGGAGTGCTGAGATTGCAGGGTGTAGCTCCACATTCGGTTTTACATAGTGCTACAGATCAAATATAGGGTTTTATGCATGCCTGCCAAGTGTTTTGTCAACTGAGCTGCATCCCTTCCCTTGAAATAAGAATTTTGACAATACAAGTACAAAGCTCTCCAGACCACCATGACCTGGGTGAGATGAGGGAGATGAGTTAAGGATGGAGGAGGAGCAGTCTCTGGGCCTGTCACCTCTCTTGTGAGAATAAATTGCGTATGTACAGAAATCATACTCTAAAACTCAAAAACAGATGTATTTAGTTGCTTGTTTAATTTTAGGAACCCTCCTAGTCTATTATTCTTGTTATATTAGTCCTACTGACACATATGTCTGCCAAGTACCGTTTTACCTCCACTTTGTATGTGGAAAATGGAGTTTAAGAACATAAAAGGGTCTACAAGATTAAGATTCCATTGTCTCTATTATGTAGATTAAGAAGATTAGGCTGCTTGCTCACATTGCTCATGCAGGAATAGAAGGGGTGGAATTTGAACTTGATGCTGTCTCTGGGCTCTTGCTCACACACCTTCATGTTTCTTAGTTATCTGACTCACACACCCAGCCTTATTTCTAATGATAAGATTCCTATGGAGAACAAATTATGAACACATACATTATAGATAGGACACATAAGTTATGCATCATCTCAATACAAGGCACAGTTTTGAGCTAGAGGGATGTTAGTAAAAAGAACTGCCTTTCAGTTCCACAAGAGGATTGTAGATCTGATCGTACACTTTCAAAGTGAAAGCTGAGAGTCTACTACTAGTAGGGGGCTCATCTCTTCAAACCACACTCTACAGCTTTCCCTTTTCTGGGCAACATGGAGGCTATATTCACTTCTTTTATTTAGTTCTTTGGAATTTTCATACAATGAGTTTCAACCATATTCACTCCTTCCCCAACTCCTTCCAGATTTGCTCCCTCCAGCTCAGCTCCATCTGACTTAGTGTCCTCTCTCTCTCTCTTTTTTTTTTAACCCATCAGGTCCAATATGTGATCATGTCATCTTGGATGTGTGACCTTCCACTAGAGTGTGGTTGACTTACCGTAGAGCTACACACCCACAAAGGAAATGAACCTCCTCTCCCAGCAGCTATCAACTGCCAATTACTCATCAACTAAGGGTGAGACTTCCTGCTCACTGCCTTTGTCTGTGCTGGGATTTGGCCTGGCTTGAGCTTGCTCAGGTCTTGTGCATGCTATCACAATCACTATGAGTTCATATGAGCCCTGCTGTGTCTGCACGACATGGTTTCATTGCAGCAACCCACCACTTCTGGCTCTTACACTTTCCTCTGCCTATTCCAAATTGATCCCTGAGCCTGGAGGTAGGAGGCATGGCATAGATATCTCAGTTAGAGCTGAGAATTCTTCAATTTCTTATCCTCTGTGCATTAGTCAGTTGTGGTCTCTGTTAATCACCATGTACTGCAAACACAAAGTTATGTGATGAGGCTTGAGAGAAATATTGATCGATAGAAATGATAATACATCATTAGCAGTTTATTTTTTTATCCTTTCATTTTACTTCACATTAATTAGTACCTAGTACGTGTTGCCCATTGAAAGTACAATTAAAAGACCCAATTGAGATGCTTCCAGTCTGGTAAGAGACAAGCAGGACCACTTCCACAGAATTACTGAAAATGAGTGTGATTTTGTACCCTGTATCATTATAATGCCTCTTCTTTAGTTCTAGATAGAAGTCAGAGTTCTTCATCAGCTGTGCAAGAAGAACTTCCTGGAAGCTAGAACAATGCAATCTGTGATTAATTAACTGTAAGAAACTCTGAAATGTGTCTATTATAATGTATCATTTTAGCATTGGTCATCTTTTGGCATTGTTGGAGCAATGAGGACCTAGAGAAGGGATCCTGATGAGAATAAAATGGCTCACATTGGACTTTTGCCCTGTAGGTAATAAAGACTGTGGATTGATTAGCTTGTGTTTCTGTTTTGTCATGTTGAAAGAAAATCCTGGTGAGTTATGGTGGTGTGGGAGCCACTTAAACTGTCAATTGATCTTCAGGACTCTTCAGACTTCCTGAGATCATACATGCTTTTCACCAGACTTGTTTCCTGTAATTTTCACAGTTCCAGGTTAATCTTCAGAGCCTAGTTATATTTATAAAGTCCTTTAATAGCGAAGAATTTTTACCAATATCCAAATGAGTTTAATTATCCACTTCACTAGTTACTGGCTAGATGTACCAAGTACGCATAACGAATGATGAGTGGATAACTTTTGATGGCAAGCTTAGTTTTCCCCTTCTCTTTTTTGTTAGTAGAAATAGTTGTTATTACATATTTTGTCATCTTGGTTTGTTAAACTCTGGAAGGTTAAATAAATTGTAGATGGAAGAATAGGGCAGACATAATTATATGATAAACACAAAACACCACAGTAGAGTAAGGAAAAGCATAAGTTAGCATCCAAGTTTTAAACATAAGAACAATCAGTTTGCACCAGTACAGAATGGCTGAAGCTAGACAACAGAAAAAATGGGGGGTGGGGTGATTAGCTCCAAGTCAAAATGAAAGAAGCATGAATATGGGCAAAAGAAATGGCTGGAAGGGGATGTATTTAATAAGTTCTTAGGGAGCAAAGGTTGTAAAAGTTAGCAACTGGGTGTGGCAGACTGGAAATTACTTACTTAGTGTCTACTGTGAACTAACTGCTGCAATCAACCTTAGCACTGACATTTTTCATATAGAGTCAAAACCTCTGAAAGAGTGAAAGCATAGAATCTGGTTGGAGCAAGAGAACAAGGCAAAGGAAATATTCCTTCCAAAGAAAACAAGATAAGGTGAATCACTTGGGTGTAGTGGGATATTCACTTTGTCTCCTTCTGTGGCATTGACCACGCCCATTGGGGGTGGAGCCAGGGGCGGAAGTGACCTATGGAAGGAGGTCTGAGGAGGAGACTGGAACACTCTCTTGCTGGCTGGATGTGGACAGGAGAGCATCCGGTGGAACTTGCTGGTGTTCATTTGTCTAAGTTGTAAATGTTGTAAGTTATTTCTCCCTGAATAAACATCTATTCGGCCTATTTGTTTATCCTGATCCTTTTTTTAACCACAATACTTGGGGACAACTTAGAATGTTCCTTTCCAGGGTGGGGTATTTGGTAAACACCTTCCCAGGATCATTTTGCCTCCAGGAGCAACAGGGAAATGGAGGCCAGTGGTTTCCACACCACTGTCAGTTATCTTTGTTCTACTAGACACTGCCCCTTCTACTTTCACATCTTATATTGAATGGGTGGTCTTGAACTGTTATTTTATACATGAAGAAGTGTCACTTCAGTTAGATTTCAACATCCCTGAATGAGATCAATACCCATTATTTGGCAATATCATATTTAGTAAACTTAAAAAAAAAATTCCATCTACCTGTAACATCAGCACTCAAGAACTTAAGACAGAAAGACTGCCACAAATCTGAAGCCAGTTTGGGTTCCACGGTGAGTTCTTAGCCATCCTGAGATAAGGAATGATGATGATGATGGTGATGATGATGATGATGATGATAAGGAGAAGGAAGAGGGAAAAGAAGAGGAGGAAGAGAAACAAAAATATATTTTCATGAATTTTTTTCATATGTGTTTATGATTTTCTTTCATGCAACTACTTCAAAGACTGTAACTCATATATACATGAACAAGAATATGGAGTCAATCATAAGTCTAGGGCATTGGGAACTATTGGTTTCTTGGCTCAGTACACAGACCTCTGACATGAGATCACAATCATGTTTTGAAAGGTGTCAAGCCACACAGAGAAGTAAAATTCCTCAGAATATCCCTGACATAGGACAAACTAGCCCTACTGAGAACAATGATTAAGTGTTCCAGAGTGTTTCACAGTGTAAGACATTGTCAGAGTAGAGTTCCAGACCAAGCTGAGCTCATCATCATTAATGAAAATACAGCAAAGAGAAAAAATGAAGGGGGAAGAATAAGGACCAAACTTGTCAAAGTGGGTCTTTGAGAGAGTTAAGAAGTGCCAGTGCCCAGCATGGTACTGCAAATGCAGTCTTCTCCATGCCTCTCCAGAGGTTAGAAGGTTGCTGAGGCAGGAGGAAAAGGAGCACATGCTCTCTTGAAAGGGAGTATGGGCTTCAATTCCTCACTGAATCATTTTTCACATTTCCCTGAATTACTTTGTGTTCAATCTTGATAGATAATAGTAAGTTCTAATCTTGCATAAAACATACAATGTCACAAAAGACTTTATGGGGAACAATGGCCTTATACATTGGGCAAGTATTTGTAAAATAACTGCATTATTCCCTATAAACACCAGCTTCTCTGAGTTAAAGGGCATCTGAACAAAGATCCCTGCAA